CGGAGCAGTATTGTTCACTTTATTGTAGTGATCACCATGTGGTTGGGGAGAATTGATAGAGTTCATAGGACTATGATACATAGGATAAGCAGGACTAGACCCATGGTCCAGAGGAGAAGTTTGTGGTGCTGCTTGGGAGGGACTCTGTCTCCTTGGCACAACAACGCCACAATCTGGGCCATTTTGAGAGCTACTACTTGAGTAACCTGTATCTGTACTGGAACTACTTTTAGCTCTTACATGATAATCAGATTCTATATTATTTCCACTTTGATAATGTCTAAAACTAGAACTTTGTGTAGTGGAATATTGTGAACTATTGATCCTACTTGTTTTAGAAGAACTTCCAGTACTGCTACTATAATTTAATCTACCTGGGGCATCCATAATAGAGTAACTTATTGGGGATGACTGTGGCTGAACTTTTTCATTTGAATCACAACTTTTTCTTTGTTCACTACTTAATTCTGGATATATTTTACTTTGAGCTTTTGTCTGTACTTGAGGTGCTTTGACTGTAGGAGATACAAAATTACTTACGCTATTAGTTATTTGTCTTGATGGCTTTTCACTACTTGAGGTTTTAGGTGACTGAGAATTGTAAATAGAAGCTGATGGCCTGGATGGGGTACTAGTAGAGGATCGGTAGTCTTTACTGGGTGGAGTTGGGGAAGAGGTGACTGGTGGAGTTGACACTATACACGATTGCTGGGAATGAGCAGTTGAACTTGCAGAACTTGAATAGGACTTACTTCCTGCATAATCCTGCTGTGATGCAAGTTGACCACTTTTTGCACTGCTTGTACTATATGAATTATCAGTCTGATTTCCAAAAGATGATGGAGATTGGAAAAAGGTTGATGATGATGTTGATGTTGCTGGTTGTTTGGATGCAGTTGCCGGTGAACCAGATCTGTTTGTTTGTTTACCAGTACTTGAAATTTGAGAATTGAGATGATTATTTAAAGTTTGTGCTGCAGCAAAATGTGCATTGAAGTTTTCGTATGTTGCTGATGCTTTTGTTGTTGCTGGACTTGGAGATGAAGGTACAACACTTTCATGAGGTAAAATTCCAAATGGGCTTGGCAGCTGATTATTTCCTTGCCAACTCAATCCTGTAGTACTGCCTGGAGTTGATGATTGATCAAAAAATGATGTTCCTTGTGCTGCCAATGTTTGATGTGAATAATTTTCTCTTAAGGTTGATAGTTCAGATTCTACTGATGATTGCTTGGAGGCAACCGCAGCCTGAGCTTGAGCTATAACTTGGCGATGCTGCGCTTGAAGAGAAGAACTGTAGTGTGCAGGTTTGGGGTTTGCATGGTGAAAGAGTGGTGAAAACACTGCATCATACCCCACCGCTGGTGGAGACAAAAACCCAGCAGGATTGAAAGGTGAAGCAGTTGATGAGCCAAGTTGCCCTGCTAATGATGCTGTTGTATGAGCTGCTTGAAGAAGCAACTGACTTGTTGTTGATGGCACAGATTGGCTGCCTAATCCAGAGCCACCACTTGCTAGGTGGTGATGAAAATCCCCACTTGCAGCACCAGCCTGAACCCCTGCTAACCGATTGTATGAATATGCTGACCATGGTCCTACTGGATCCATTACCACCTCCGTGTTGCTCAAATGTCAATGTATGTAATATGTCAATAGAAGTCCACACTTTTATCCATAGTTTGTAACACAATCTATATGTATACTAGCACTATTTTGGAACACTGGAATTCATTTTGTATTTACATACTCTTCTTGTATAGAAAACACTCCTGAAAATAAAAAAGAAAAGGTTGTTAGATCAAAACAACGCAACATGAAAACAAGACAGGATCCTATAAGAAAATAACCTTTAACTGAACTTTAAATGATTATTGAAGTAAACATATTTCTAGTTAAAATCGGGAATAATTTTGATTACAATATAAAGCATCGACCATCAGGAACAAAAATAATCCGGCGCTTCACTTCACAAGCGTCACAGTGACGGAACAATACAGAATCATATTTAATAGTGTCAGCTAATGTAAAGTATATATTTTTATGAAGAAACATACCATCGCCTTGGTTTTCCACAACCATGTATCAATGTGGTTTCGGAGGACGCTCACACGACAGATAACATCATAAATATGGCCTCGACTAGTCGAGTGCTCGTTGCGACGGGTTTTGTCTATTGTGAAATGAAAAGTAATTCAAGTCGCAGGTTGTTCACAACAAATCACTTGCTGTTTAACACTAGGTATACAATATTAAGTCTTCTGTTGTCGTTATATTGATAATAATATTTCAACAAACCAATAACTTTATTTACAAGTGGAAATACGACAACGTTTCGCCTTTCACATTAATCGCCGCCATCTTACTTGTCGAATATCTGTCGGTCGAACGAACGACCGCATACAAAACAAGCTGTACAGCGCCATCTGCGAAATGCGAAATGGTTTTCAAATTATAGTCTCTACAAAATTAAATTTCTTCTTCAAATTAATATTTAATAATTTTATTTACGTGCATTATATTCTATGTACACTGTAAATCAATATTTGTTTAGAAATATTTTAAAAGCTACTTTAAAAATAATTTAATACAATGGTAAAAACGTTTTGTTTCTTCACTAAAAAACTAAAATGAGACGTTATTTTCGTACTAAATGTTGCCGTTGAGGCTTGTTCTTAACGAATGAACGAAATGCTACAATGAAAACAATTCGATTATGTTAAGGCCGGTGTATAACGTATAACATTCAATATTTTTGAATTGTGAATTATTATCACAATTTAACAAAAATAAAAATACAAATTCAAAGTCAAACACATACAGAGCTATATTCGTTTTTAAAGTAGGTATGTACCTACAGTAATAAAATAAGAGACGAGCCTAATTATCATTCGATATTTGTCAATTTCACATACAACTATAGATTAGTATGCATTAGTCAGAGAATTCAGATTCACCCATCCAGACTCGGAAGCCGGAACGACAATCCGTAGTGTAGACAAAGAAAGAATTAGGCGGGAATGGAATCTGCGACAAGTTTCACGGTTACTGCTGCGCCAATCGTGTCGTCAGTAGGATGATACGTATATTATTTTATTCATAAATGTAATTTATTTTTATACCAATATAAAGGATTTCTTAAATCGTAAAAGAAATCATTAGTCAGTCCGCAATGCATTTTTAAAATCATAAAAAACCTATCTGCCCTTTTTAGCTATAATTGCGTGGTATTCATTTAATCAGAGGGTTTTTAGGAAATGTTGATGGAGTTTATTGGGAGTGGAAGGATCTTGACTCTTTAGTAATCTAACTCTATTACTTAGTCTTTGCCTCACTTACACTGAGCAAATAATCACTACACCATAGACTATACAATACACTACACTATGTTACTCACACGGCGAAAAAGTACTTACATTTCAGTTGGCCTCCATCTACTTCAAAATAAGTTCAATGGGAGTAGTTTTACAAAATGGTTTAGGTACCTACACATGAATGTAGCTATGGGCTGAGTGGGACAGCACTCTAAAATAGTAATATGTAACTAGCAAACTATACTCGCGGTCATACTCCATTTCATTTTTTATACAAAAGGTTTTGTGTGAGGTGTTAGTAAACTTAATATGTTCATAGGTGTTCTTCGCACGAAAAAAGGAAACAATTGAGTCATCTATTGTACTTCAACTCTATCTTTCTAGGGGTAACACCGCCTAGACGAAAGGGACAACAAGTAGAAATGCAACAACTCCTTACTGAAATATAATATTTAGTAGACGCCCGATTTTACTTCTGAGCCTAACTACAATTTTTTCGTAAACCCACTATTTTTTTATAGGATTTTCTCCTGTATCGTGAGCGCGTTTACAAACATACAAATTCACATACCTGCTCTTTATACCCAGACCCGGAGGAACAATTTGTGGATCACATAGAAAGTGGGAGAGACACAAAGCGGTTGGCTTGATGGAATGATATGGGTTGGGCTCACAGAACACCAGCGTCTCCTTCATCCTCTCCCCCAATCTGTACCTGTAATTCTTATGGTGTTGTGGGTGTTCGCATTGGTGGCGTCGATTTTTTACCACGAGGTAATCCGTTGGATGTGTGCCGATAAAAAAATATTGTTTTCATGCGGGAATCAAACCCGTGACGCGTTGCACAGCATCTAGTTGTCCAGCCACTGCGCCAACCGTGCAGTTGAGTTGTTTTCAACGATCGTCCAATGACTTTCAGCTCCCCGAACAAAACAGTTTCCAAAAAGGCTAAAGTACTTGCAATAGACCATATTCCCTGCGCTTGGTATGTATATGGGTATTGATCCGATCGATTGGTAGTATATAAGGTTTTCCGGTAACACCAAATTGACAATCGATTGATATATCGCGGTGTTGAAATATTTGTACAAAAACGTCATCATCGCGTCAGTCCAAATACAGAAATAGTGCACTAAAGAATTCATTAGTAGAAATTCTTCTGCAGCAAGTTGTATGGTAAACATTATATTTCTGAAGCTGTTCAAATTAGACTAGATAAGAACTTGGTCGTCTTCAAGTTATTTGTCCATCGGCGGTACATTATTGCGCTTGTATCCACAACCCTATCTGAAAAGTGATGGGCTTGATTGGGCAGTGGACTCCATTTTTACCGACTTCAAAAAAGGAGGAGGTACTATGTTCGGCTGATTGTTTTTATTTATGAACCGATTTCCAAAATTCTTGTTTTGTTTGAAAGGTTATACTCCCGAGAGGGTCCCATTTTCATGAGGTCAGGATCTGATGATGGAATACTAAGGAAAACGAAGGGTCTGATGATGAGAACGAAAGACAGCTCAGAGAACTCCTGAACGGTTTACAGTAACTACATCGTGTTTGAACTTAATTCATTTATTAAGATACCAAATGTAACGATTGTTATTATTTTTGTTAGGTATGGGATAAGGACAAATGAGCTTACCACGTGCACATCACCACACCACCCACACCGGATAAATGAAACAAAACCTGGAGTTTAATAACTTCATTTATTGGACATAACCATAAATCTTTCATTAAGAGACAAAATCAGTATTAATTCTTTGGTAATTAAATCAGTTCAGGAAGACTTGCAGACAAAAATCTCGGTAAAATGTCATAGAATATTTTTAAAGTATTGGGACCTATATTTTCATATGATGCCACGTTTTTGTCTGGTTTCATTAATTAGCTTACTAAAACATTTAATATTACCAACTTTTAGCATGGTCATAATAATATGGTATTACTAAATGCTAATATGAATCACATGTTTTTAAATTGAGATACGTCAAAAGCATACCTAAATATTATTTCATTAATTAATTAAAACACTGAGGGTAAAATGTACCAGATTGTTGACAAAAATAATACCATCGAGTTTCCTTACAATGGTACATATAAGAATACGTTTGACATCAACCATTTCTTCGTGTTTTATCCGTTATACAGACATAGCAGCCAACTGGCGATAATCCTGCTGATTAGCGGTATTATTGAATGCCGAATATTTCTATGAGGCCATTACTTGCAATGTGTATCGTAAATCGTGATCCTACCATAACAGTAGGCAAGGTTTGAACTGCAGCCCTCAAGGAAATCGAATCGCCATCGCCATAAATAGCTGCATCAGAATTGTATCTCTTATTAAACGGACTAGGCAATTAACTGCATAGATTAATGAGCCATTTAGTTATTGCCTGCGACATAGGTACATCCATGATCGCAGGATACGGTCACAAAACTTTTCACATTCATCTGCAATTGATGTGATTTTTAAGTTGCCATATAAAAACTTAAATACAATACAAAACAAATATTTTATCACTACTGAATAGTTGTTTGGCACAAATTTCCGTGCATGAGTTATGTAATGAATGTAGACTTAGATTTATTGTAAATTATGCATCATTATAATAATTAGTCATAATGCGATATTGTATAAGTTAAGGAGCATAACTTTATATTGATAATATGAACATGCAGGACGGCAGGAACTACAAACAACCATTAAAAGAGAGCAAAACTTAACATATTACAATTGAGTCGAAATATTTATGATTCACATACAGTGCACAACATCTATATTAACTAGATTCAAGATTTAAGAAATATATCAATTTATTCCGGACGAATGTTTTACATATATATATTTTTTAATTTTTCATAATTTAAATTTTGACACTAACATAGAAGATAGCTTCTGAAAACTAATATTGGAAGTTAAGCTTGAGGATAAAATAACTGAAGCTGCCTAATGAGAGTGAAAGCCGATGTCAGTGATTTTACAGTAAAGCCAACTAACATTTACTAGAATTGAACATTGATAACGATGATAAATTATACAAGCACTATGATAATCATCATTTATCACTTAAGTTTGATAGTTCACCCACTATTTATCAGTATCATAAATCCTGATTTGGAGAGATTTGGTATTTAGCGATTGTTACCAAATAAGTTATTTTCGTAATACAAAAAGAACATTAAGAAATAAAGGACACAATAATGGGATACACACTAATATCTAGGTATTTCGAGATCTTTGTCGAATCCACTAGCAGCAAATGTATGATATAATTGATAAATTTGATATAATATTATGTAGCTACAACTTACAAATTATTATTGTTTGACCATTATTAGCTATGTAGATTCGACTTAGAAAATTCACACATTACAAAACGGTTCAACTTACATCTAACTTAATCACATATGAAGTATCAATCATAGTTTAAAATTATGCGGTGGATAGTCTACTGTGTGCTTTAAGTATAGTACTTGAAGAACGATTAACGTTAGTTACGTAAAAATAAAATAAAGCTCACACTTGCCCACAATTAACTCACATTGGTACATATCTGAACATTGCAACATTGAGAATTGTAGAAAAATGCTTAATGCTAAATGTTCAGAGCTCACATAATGAGTTGATGTAACAGGATTGTGCAGCTCTTTATCATTAATGCAAAAATTGTATATGAAACTAGAATAAGACAAATAGCAAAGTAACATTGCACAATATAACTTAACTCGAGTATTCTACATACAAGTTATGTTTGATATAAAAATAAATGTACTAGTAATAAGAACTTATACATAAGCACCATTAATATAAAAAATAAAATCTTTGGATCGATCTGGCAAGTTAACAGAAATAATAATCACATTTAAACTTAACAATAAAACTACAAAATAATCAGACCCTGATTGCTAATATCAAATAAAGAACATATTAGTGAGTATTTGTGTTTACATATAAAAATATATTTTGTAGTGGTAAATTGATGGTTCATTGAATGATTCCATTAAAACTGGTTTAACCACGAGTTTTAAAATAATGTACTTACAATATGAATGAATTTAAATGCCTTGCGTAAGAGAATTTTCAAGTACAATATCGAATTCATCCAATGGCTCAAGTATTTGCCTGAGGAATGTAAGAAGGCCGCGTTTGCGCAGAAAACTCTGTTCCTCGTACATCTCGACGGTGACGCGCGTCATTGACATGGGCACGAGCATTCGATGCAGCCAGTGTTCACTGTAATATGTAAAAGCAATCTAGTTAGTACACTTAGAGCTTAGAATTATACTACTTGTGTCAGTACTTATGTCTCATACAAAAATTATAAACGCTAAAGTTTGAATGAACTTATGGATGGCTCCCTAGGCTACTTGTTAGGCTATTCGGCACGCTGTAGTTATTGCAAGAAAAGTCGCTAGCAAAAACAAATGTTTTAATTAATCTGTTGTACTATTTTGTTTTAAGCAAGGTGAGCTCACATACGATCACAGTACGTCTGAGTACTAAACGCTAAGGCTAATACACTAGTAGCTATATTATATATCTCTAAATAAGACTGTATAGACTAAAAAAATAAATATATACCATACTAAATACAATACAATTCTTACCGTAAACTGAGGCATATGAAAAGTTGGAATTTCCCGTCCTTCCCAAGTGTGCGGCCGACGGAATTGATCTCGTCCATAAGATGGCAGTAACAACGCCAGATAGCTCTGTGCTCCTGGTCCTGTCGGCAGTTGTACGCCATACCACAGCTCTTGTTGTTCTGAGACGTTGGCTCATCACAGAGACTCATTTTGAACTCGTCTTTCACTTTAGCTGTATGAGTAAAATGATACAATTATGAGTTAGGACCATATTACAATAGCACCATATAATATAATCAACTCAAGTTTGTCAAAATCTGATCACCATAACCATTTTTATTAAAAACTTCGTTTATGAGGGAGATTTTTTAATTCGATTAGTGCATACTAAAATTGTAATATGTGTAATAAAAGTAAAAAAATATTTTTATTGTCTTACTAGAAATTAATAAAAGATAGAATCAGGTACACAAAAGAGTTGTAATAATCGATCTATAACAAGCATTTTCTTACGATTTTTAACTAAATAAATAAACTTACCAAAATAATCCCAAATGAAAAGGTTCTTTCCAAAGAGTCTCACAGATTTGAATCCACACAGGAATGCCTGTTCTAAGCATTTAACTAGTCCATTTTCTCCACAAAGCAGTACACTTAAGGAATTAGCGTCCTTTTCTCTCTTCGACTGATAGTGCCACTTTACTATCGCGTTTACGCAGTCACCTGTACATATTATGATAAATGTTAGTATTAAATGGTTTAAAATTTACATTTAAGTATATAATATCAGATAGGTAATTAAGAGAAGCGCGTTGCGTTAAAAGCAAAAAACCTCTGACTGAAGTTTTTAAAAGAATTTTTTTTTTGTTTATTGTTCAAGTTAAAACGTTACACGGATTTTAAATCTTATATACTAAGCCACAGAAGTCATTGATGGCTTACATATGGCTAATGAGTTCGGAAAGTTTATGATAATTTTGTAGAAGCGTTCAATAGCAGTTTCAAGAAAGCTTGAAAAGGTTAGTTGCAGGGTGTTATTTATAGGGGAAGGAACTTGGAAGCTGTCGGTTATCTTTTGTCCTGCGATCACCCGTAGCGAAACCAAGTAGAGCATGGGCCGCGTTGCCCAGCTGATACTAACAAACGCGCGGCGCATGTAATGGTAGCAAGTACCGATCATGTGCTGGATGGTGGACGTAGACAGGTGCGTCGTAGTGGGCGTGGCCGCTGCCGGCGCGGGGGGCGGGGCGCCGGCCCGGGGCGTGGCCCCGCTGCGCATGCGCGCTGCAACCAGCAGGCGCTCCGTCGACCCGTCGTCCACGCCTGTACCCAGCCAACGGTTGCACGGGAATCTGAATATCACCAAATACACCAATCGACTAAATCCAGTATACTAAAAAACACATTTTGTATATATTACTAGTGCAAAAAACTAAAGTTATTTAATTCCACATTAAAAATTAATAGTTACAACATAAATAATGATGCAGAAGTAAGTAAACTCACGTGTAAGTGTGTCCGGTAACCTCATTTCTAACATAAACTTGATCAAGTAGCCACCGCGGCGAGAGTCCGGAATTGTCATGTCCAATGCGCAATGTTGATAAAATTCCCAGATTTTTATGCTGAAATTATTCATAAGTTTAGTAGTAGTTATGCGTCTTGAATATCATAATGTACAAGAGCAATGTTTTGCTAACAAAAACTTACATGGAAAACAAACTCGTTAGTATTTCGCGGTATTGGTATTTTAGGGGTAGATTCGCCATTCGCTCCTGATATAGAGATCCAACAGTTAGCGGTTGTCTGGCTTGCTTTACGAGATGGCACAATGAGGACTCGATACGGAAGTTCTGCAAACAAAATGTAGCTTTAATCACACTGAAACTGCTAAAGCGAGCAGTATAGGTATTTGGAAGTAATAAAAGGAAATTTATGTAATATTTTTAACACAAAAGTGACATACTTGTGGTGGGATAAGTATTGGTGAAACAGAAATAATCCACTGCATTTAATGTGAGTAGATGATAAAGGAATTGTTCCCTTTCTTCCTCGGAGCGAAGGAAAGCCGTCCGCTTGTACTGAGACCTAAGTAGCGTAGTATCAGCTAAGAGTTCCCGAAGATGTTTTGATAGCAATTTCTTCTCAAGAGAAAGTCGCACCCAAGCACGAGCATATCCTATTTCCGTTTTGATATCTGTCATCGCTTGCACATTTCTGTAATAGGAAAATTTTAATATTATTCAGAAGTCAAACATCAATCTGCTGGACCAAGTAACAATAGAGTTTCTTGCTCGTTCATCTCTATGGGAATCTACACTTTGGAACGAGCAAATAGCTTCACTAGTCCGACGGGCAGACTGACGCTCAAAACTGCCTTTTGTAATATATTTAAAATATTGTGATATGACTTTGACTGTCACGCAAACAAAAAAAGATTTTAGTCTTGTGTATTTGGTGTACTTAGAACAAATAATACACACAATCACTTACCTCATATCGAACGTCAAACTTTCTGGCAACGGGCGTAAAGGGTTGGGAGGTTGAGCTGACTTCCTTTCCAAAGTCCCGGAGTTGCTAAGACGATCCCGGGAACTATCCCGTGACCCCCCTCGCGAACTATCTCGGGACCGACTCCCGGAACTGGTACTCTGAACAGCTTCTACTTCAGCACCCACAGACGACAGATCTATATTGAGAAGGGTTTAATTAATTTTGCTCAGTTTACAAACCTTCTTGTTTAAGATAAAGAAGTATACTTACAGTCCAATCTTTTGCGCAACACACACCAAGCCAAAGCTGCATGTTCCAAAGCACATTGATAATAATGACATAGACAGATTAGTAATTTTACGTTTAATAATAATAAGAAATTATAAACGCGAAAGATTATATGGATGGATGTTTGTGACAGTTTCACGTAAGAATGATTTCACTTTCTCGTAGATTATAGCTGGGAGTAATACATAAGCTAGCAGAAAGTTATAAATTGATATGACCTCATTAGAAGGGGGAAGCGGCGAGAAATCGAAGATTCAAAATCTAATTTCCTACTTGTATATTGTTTCCCATAAAGTTTCAGATTTAATTAAAAGATATACTTTTTAGTGACTGTGATTAAAAGACATATATGTACATATTTATTTATACTATATCACTGCTAGGGTGGGTCGCTAGTAATATTGTAGCGCTAATTTCCAGAATTACTAGTTTGAATTGAACAATTATTTTCGTGTTTATTAGTCCATTTATCGAGGAAGGCCGAAGGAGCCGAGTAGCGGAAGAAACCGCGCGAGAACAGCTAAATTGAATACCCATAGAAAGGCTTCTTCCAATGAATTGAAGTTCATTCGTGACGTATTGTAGTTAATATGTATATAATTAAAAATAAATATTAGTGATAAATCAAAGAATATTAATGTCGACTCATTTTAGTAATACCTAAACAGATATACTGAACAAATATTGAATAAAATAACGCAAATAGATAAACTGTTCTCACCGGGAGTAAGGTAGTTGGGATCGATGGGTTTGGTGGAGTTGCTGCACTGCTCCAACTCTTGGTAATTGGTGAGGTGCATCCATAGAGCCGACTTTCCCATTTTATGTTGCAAGCCGTGGGACCACAACCGTTCCAGAAGGTCGCATAGTGAAGCTATCATAGTACTTTCTTCGACCCCAGTTATAGATACCTCGCAGCCCAAACCTAGATCGGATTCTTCTGTACCCATCTTTTCCACAAGCATCCTCTTCGTTTTGCTTTTGCATTCCTATTAAAGAGAGAGAGTAAAATAATTAGTAAATCAAGTTTATAGCATAGCATCATCTTAAGGCTAACACAAATCTTAAAGAAAGGAAAGATTCTGGCTTCATCGTCGTCCGTGACACGTGGGTACACGTACCAAAAATCAAAACGGAGCTCTTGTGCGGACGTCGCAATGTTTACGCCTCAAGAAAGAAAGAGATAAGTGTGGGGAGCCAAGCTAAGGCACGAATGGGACGGCTCGACCGGATCGATTCCACGGCCTCACAGCAAATCGGCGTGAAACAACTGTAGTTGTTACACGTTATTACAACTGTAGTTGTTACACGTTATTACAACTGTTGTTATTTAAGGATTGGGTCTGGTATAAAATTCACGCCGATTTGCTGTGAGGCCGTTCCGTTGTGTTTCGCCGTGTGAATTTTATACCAGACCCAATCCTTAAATAACCGAAACCCTTATCATCAAAAGACCGGTAACACACTCGTAACTCCTTAGGTGTTACGGTTGTCCATGCGCGGCACCGATTGCTTACCATTAGGTAATACCGTCTACTCTTTTTCCGAACTATGCCATAAAAAAGAGGTGGTCTAAAAACATAGCTACATAAAAGCTAAACTATACCTTCAGGAGCTTCTCAACAAAGGCCCTGTTGTTCTGAGCAATCGCTGCCGGCGTCACTTCTGTGGACAACCTTCTACTAATGTCCCCCAGCAACAACTCGGGAGGACAGTCCTTCACTTGCCACTTCGCATTCTTTATACGTTTCAGACTGTTTGTTCTGAAAAGTGAAACATATGTCTAAATACCTTGAATAAAGTCGCTGTTTATGTGTATTTATGAAAAGCTAGCATAGCAAAAAGCAGTTGGAATGTGTATCGAAATGCATAGTATTAGTAGGCGCGAGGGTTGCACACAAACGACGTCTCTTTACATGCAATGCACGAATTTGATCTTATCAACAGCTAACAGATAGAGTCAAATAATATTATTCACCTATACAGGCAAATAAGGAAATAAAGGCACAGAAAGCATTCAAGGTAAGACTACATAAAACTCACGCACACTATAACCACTTTTACAAAACATGCTATCCAACTACAAGTAACAGGATCAGGATTGCGAACATTTAAAAATACGCAGTATTACACATAAATAACTTTATTTTATATCTTATTCTTATTTACATAGAGCCTATATTAAAACAAACAATATATTGCATTATGGAGTTACCTTATTATGAGAAGATCTGTCAATATAATTAGCTATGATTAAACTTTATAATTGCGTTAAATAAAAATTAATTATGCAGTAACAACAAAATAAAATATAAATGAATAAATATAATTGGACAAAAAACGGTTCGAGTATCACAATATAAACATATAAAATCACATAAAATCATTACATGAACGTATTTCATACTGCATGCAATACGAGTATATAGAAAATCATGCACTTTTAGTACTTAACACATTGACTATCACAACATTCAAAAATAATAATATGAAGTTAGATTTTTAAAGGCTTAGACAATCGAAAAATAAATTGAACCTGAAAAGACTCATTTGTGTAATTTTGATGATAAATTTTACAACAAAAATTCTAATGTCCAATCCTTTAAAAAGCTCACGATATTAATGGAATGTTTAATAATTCGGATACGATCTTTCTTAGACACGACAAAAAATAATAATATTAAAAAAAATTATAAGTATTTTTATATTTACTAAGCTATTAACGTGAAGCGAGAGTCTAGTAAACAAATTTAGTAAGATTGCAATAAAACAAGATTTATTATGAGAGCAAGTTACTCAACTCAATGTAAATGGCAAGGATGATTACCCATCGTAAATTATATTAGCTATAGAATGTATGCAAACTTAATGGAGTCTATCGTTATTTCGCTCGCTAGATGCCGCTAGTGTGAGCCTAAAGGTAGGTTAAATTTTTGTCAGACATTGTGATTGGACAAAATGCCCTCTTAAGTTCTTATAGCGACATCTGTTGAGTAACAAAACGTTAGCGCCCATTAATTAGTATTGAGAGATAAAATTGAAGAATTTTAAGGTTTATAAAGTAGACTGTGACTAGAAACTCGCTCCACGTAAAACATATTTAATTGAATACTTGGAAGAAGTCTTCTTTATCTATAGATTTTTTTTTACAAGAACTAGCTTTACTATCAGCTGTTTTGATAATAATCTCTTAGAATGTTTTCAAAGTCTCTTAGGGTAAATCTCATAGTAAAAATAATTAATAATATTATTATGGAAAATGTTTCCTTGATAATTTAAATAAATTTTAATAATACTGACCTTAGAAAGTAGGTAAGGTCTAATAAAATATTTTAAGTAGCACACCTGCTATTGTGTGTACACTAAAAATAGTCTTTTTAATATTTTAATTATAATAAAAAAATGTTAATTTACTTGAAATATCATGTTATTGGATAAATATTATATTTTAAAACAATGGCCAGCACCAACAACATTTAAAAGCACTGTGAACTCTTGTGTGAGCATTTGTATCACAGGTTTTGCAAAACGTTTTTCTTTACGAAATATAATTATTGAGATTCTTTCACTTACCAAATTATATTTAGAATACTTTTTTGGAAATAATATATGAGGTTTTATTATTATTATATTGAAGCTATATAATAATTACATAAGACACACTACACGGTAGTATTAAGAGTCTGGTCAACATAATAACATACATTTTATAAGGCTTGTACAGTCGCATGCTGCCATATGAAGCAAGTTTACTTGTCAAAGACAAAGACTGTCACACATTGAAACAGTTTGAAAATAAAACATGATCAAAAATCGTCCGTTTATACACCGAGCTAACATGTATTTGCAATAATTTCATAATAGTGTTTTAAGACACCTGTTTTATGAAAATATTTTTGTTTTTTATATTGATATGCTTTATCAATTTAGCTTTACATTAAGATGAAATAGTTAGCTCGGTGCATTACGTGTACGGGACAACATGCAAGCCTCAAGAGCAATCCAGGTTGATGTACGACGCACGTACGACAAATCTACGATATCATATCACGAAAGCTGCACTCGCGGTTAGTCGAAGGAAGCGGCCGGGGTTGGAGGTCGGGGGAGTGGAGGCATGAAGGCCATGTAGCGCGGGCGAGGGTCGCGAGTGACGTGTCACGGGGCGCACCTGGTGTCGGGCGCGGGCGGGCGCGTGAGGGCGTGCGCGTCGAGGCGCGCGGGGAAGGCGCGGTAGTAGGCCGCGCGGTGCGGCAGGCGCTCGGCCGGGGCGCCCACCTCCAGCTCGGCGGCCGCGCCCCCGCCGCCCCCCGCGCCCCCCGCCCACACGCAGTACCCGCGCGTCCCCAGCCCGCCCTCGCCGATGCGCCGCCTGCAACACACGCTCACCGTACTACCCACTGTCGCCTGCCGACCCATCCCACTCATACACCACAAACTCTATGATAGTGTTACTCACATCAAATAGCAGACCTAGTCCCCACTGGAGATGTTAACGAACATATATTGGATAAAATTGTAAACCTTTCTAACATACACACATCAAAGTCATGCCTTTATCCCATAGACCCTTGCATACTTCAATATTCCTCATGCATTTATTCAGACAATCACGCAACGTAAACTCCTATAAATGCATCTGCAGTATGATGTAGTTAATTGCTTCAAATAATCTCCTTCATGATGTTAGTATGCAGTGGCATGTGCCCGGTAGGTGCACTTATAATGTCATTAATTACCCAGTTCTAGATCCCATGCTAAATCCAGTCTACATGCTGTATTTTGGTATATTTATGTACTTATTAGTAGAATCACAGTAACATTGTTATTTTTTAAAGACATTATTAACTCATGGTTCTCTTGTTCGTTGCTGTGATTCTCTCTATACTGAATTATCATACCTGACAGTCTTGATGCGATGCTCGAAGACTTGTAGGTTGGCATCGTATTCTCCCCAGTTGCCCATAATCTTGTTATCGATTAACGTGGCAAACATTTGTGTCTCGAGGAACCGCGAGAGGAATGGCCTGTGACGCTGCGGTTGGTCCGAAAGGAATGATGCTTTGTCAAAATTCACCATCGACTCTCGAGACGACAGCCATGATTCACGGTCCTAAATGAAATAGGTTAAATAAAGTTTTGAATAGCTTCGGAGGTAGACAAATAATACTTTTTATTTACATACTTAGGTATTTATGTATAGCGGTAAAACGGAAGCTTGACAGGATTGGACTACTAAAACTTTATATCATTTACATAAAAGTTATATGAGATTTTATAACATTAACCAGCTACACTTGCGCGGATTTAACCGCTGTTCTGCTCCACTTTAACGTAGCATGATGTTTTATAAACTATAACCTTTCTCGATAAATTGACTATCCAACACAAAAAGAATTAATCAAATCGAACCAGGAGTTCCGGAACAAACAAACTCTACAGCTTTATTATATTAGTATAGATAATTAAAAATAAATATTAAAAAAGTTATTCACCTGATCAGGCATGATAACAAAATTCTCGTACATGAGAAATATGTGCACAAATCTATTAAGGAATGTTTCTCTGATGGCAACATTGAACCTGATGTCCTCATTATATTGCTCTTCGTCATTAAGAATTTTCTTCTTTGTCGTTGGCATTACCGTGTCTGCATCTACGTCATCTATGTTAACACCTGCAGATAAAAAAATAAAGAAAAAATGTGAACAAGTTGCTGTACAAGGATGTTACCTAATTAAAATTAATTTAATTCAAAACGTAGCATGACTACATTTTCTATATGTAATTATATCTTCTTATGCGTATTTTACAAGGCCTTTTCAATTAAGCTTAAGTGCAGTAAATTGGTCATAAAAAGTTGATGATATTGGTCAAATATTGATAAAATAAACAGGATAGTATATTGTGCTCCAGCTATTAATATATTCTCAGGTCACCATATCAGAAGTTTGCTCAATATTTTTTCGATTTTATGTTTTCTATAAACACACAAACTAGCTTTTGTCACGCGGTTTCTCTCGCTGCTTGGCTCCCACAAATCGCAGCGTGATGTTTTATATCCTAAAGACTTGCTCGATAAATGTACTAACAAACACAAAAGTAATTATTCAATTCGAACCAGTTCTGAAGATAGGTGCATTCAAACAAACAACCTCTGCAGCTTCATAATATTAAGTATAGACTAAATATATACATAAATATATAGATATGAGTTATATGAACTTACCACTTCGTTTGACGATGTCTACGATTCTTTGCAGAGCATCCATTCGGAGGGGAGCGCGACGCGTTGGCGATGCAGGAGGTGACGCATTAAGCGGCCTGCTTTCTTCCCACTCCAGTACATCATGGAATGAGTGTTTCCGACGTAGTCCACCTTATCAAAAACATTGAAATTTAGAGTATCTACTGTTTTTTTTCGATCACCTAATTTAGTAGAGTAAATTAAATAAGATTATTTAATTGATTGAATGATTAAGGACTATATTAAAGAAGATTATTTTTTACTTTTCTGTACAATGAATTATTAAAATATAATTTTAATTTCTTTGTTGATTTGGCGATATACTTAATTTTAGATTTATTTTCAAGTTAACCTTTACCCGTTTAAAGATAAGTATGGTGTTTGAGGATTTTTTTAAAAACGTTGCCCCACACTAGGATTTTCTCTTGTGTCGTGGGTGCGGTTACAAACATATTATTTCACAAACACATCACAATCAAACCTGGAACACGTTGCACGGCAGCCAGTTGCCAGTTTGTGGAGGTCAAAGGAAGAAAATAATATTATATTAAGTGTTAAAGCACATCTATTTGGTTAATATCAACCAAAATATGACTTTAAAATTCATAGACAAAATTAACAATTGACTCAACAACGTTCAGTTCAGAATAACAATCTCCCTTATTACTGCTGTACAATTGTGCAAGTAATAGGCTAAGACAACAGAAGGTATAAGGTATGTATACACATTGGCTTCGCTGCACGCGTATGAAGGCTTAATAGGTTTATTAAACGATTTATTGGGAATTACCAAATAAAAATAAATATAGGGGCTCTAAGTAAAAAAAGGTGTTAGCTTCTTATAGTTTTATGAGACTACCAAGCGTGACGGACTGGTTTTTCCATATACCATTAAGGTTTAATAACATATTCTTAACTTTTTATGTACAAAAACTATCAATATAAATTGTAGTGAAATAGGTATATCAATACCGGATTATGATATGATCAGTGTAAGATAATGGCTAAGTCACGTATTGTGTTGCCATGTGCGCTACATCATCGCTTGAGAATAATCTTATTAGGACAAGTGTACGAGCGGCGTAGATTGCGTGACTTACGTTTTAAAAACTCATCGATCGATAAAATAAATAGCGATGGATGTTTTAAAACCGGTTTCTGAATGAATAATATTTGTATGAAGATCTTAGAACTGCTTAATTTATTCATAAAATAAGCTATACGCAGGTACAACTTATTTATTTGTTATACCTAATGGATAATATTTAACAAAGACTGCACGATTGGCGCGGTCAAAGTCTTTGTGTGATTTACAAATTGTTGATTCGGGTCTGGGTGTCATACGTAAATGAAATTGTATGTCTGTAAACGACCACGACACAGAAGAAAACCCTAGTGTGAGGCAAAGTTAAAAAAAAAACGACTACAAGGGCCAAAGGGCCAATGGGGAAGGTAAAGGTATTAGCCCTTACCTGATGGTAAAGTACAACTGCTGCTCATACTATCACCCATATGTTTGTATGATGTTCCATTTATAGGGACACCAAGCTTCGTGGGTTCAGTTTCAGGTCTTTGAATCTGTAATTAAAGCATTTATCAAAGACTACATGAATAAACACTTCAATTATCTTAATCTGAATTAAATTATCAAATGCACTATATTAAGTAGTCCATTTAAAAGAGATTTGATAATGTCGTTATCACCGAATGAATTAATAATTATTTTGCAGGTGCTGGGAAAGGAAGATGTTTGAAGTTAATTATATTTTTGAATATCATGTGTTGTGTTTACCTGATGTTTGTCTAAGACATGATTGAGTTCTTCAATGAAGGGTGTCCTATGTGGAAATATAGGTAATTCTTCAGGCAATTGTATGTCCGGTTTATCAATATCAACTAAACAAAGAGCCGCCTCCGATCCGAGTGCGATGCTCCGGGGACCATTTGGACCCATATTCATTGCCCCACTATCCGCATGGAGACCTGTTTGTAGTCAGTTAAATTATAAACAAAATACTCTCAACACTTTCATAACAATAACATAAAAAAACTATTAGCAAAGTAACATAACATTATGTTAAACTCTTATTACACAATCTTCTAAAGTGGTCATTAATTCTTAGCAAAGTAGATAACCAGCGGTGAATTAGCTGTGTGGCCTATTGACCTCTAATAAAGTGCATTGTACTATACCCATGACGAATGGCACTGGCGCGTCGAGGAAGTGGTAGAGTGGGGCCGGCAGTATTGGCACATACACGTGCGCCCATGTAAACGGCAGTAGCAGAGACACTATGCATTCAGCTACCAACATTAGTTTATTGTAATCTAAAAATACAATATTATTAGTATACAATAACTGAATCGAAATTATCACAAAGTGGTTCTTAATCATACTGTTTAATACTACTGTTATAACACTTACCACTTGATCTGAGTAAAACTTGGTGTTCCAACAGAACACATGTAAACAGTTGTACAACACATTCAACTCCTAATGTAGAAAACATAACTCGTAGTGGATAATCCAAAAGAGGTAACTCTTCAGGGAGATTTGGCATTCTTATCACCTGAAATAGATAGTATAATTGTAATTAAGCTAAACAATACAAAAAGCTCAATTTTTATAACAAATAAGGAGAGTTTTGTCATTATTATTGTAGATATAGATATTTTACCTTATTAATTGTGCAAAGCAGAAATTCAATGTAACCACATTAAAATCAACTGAAATCTTAAGTCTATTATATAATTAATAACAATATTGAAATAGATTCAATAGCAAAAGAGAGACATTTAATTTATTTTAAGACCTGAAGGTATAATTTGTTGCTAATCTCAGGATTTTGAAAAAAAAAGTGCATTGTTATGTATTATTTATACTTACAACAGGAATTGGATCCAAATGAGGTTCAGAGGGAGGCACATACAGTCGTAAAGCTTGACCAGGAAGTGGCACAGGTACTTCATATAATAAATTATAAACATAGGACTCAGGACTAAGGCCTGGGCCGGGCTGCCTTGGGAGAGATCTACAAAACAAAACAAATAATTTATAGTTAAGTCATTGATTTGGAGAATATTATTTATACTTACATAAAATTATTTTTAATTCTATTTGAACTTTTAATTATCTATATAATTATATATAATATATATAATTATATATAATTATAATTGAATCCATTACTAAAGCCATTTTTTTGCCAGGTCATTTATGATTATATTAATTTTTATTTAAGTTTGTTATAACACTGCCAGTGCTAAATATCTAGTGAAGAAAAAAAATTATCGTTTATTTATTATATTATATAATTTACAATATATTTAAAATATACATTATTAAAGCACATACTGCATGTATGTAATGTATAAAGTTAAATAAGTATATTACATTTATTATTTAAAAATATTATTAATAAAGATATAAGAGTATCACATAACAGACTTTAAATTTAAAGTTTTGTCTATATAATTAACTTCCTTAAATTTATATTATGAGATAACTTGTTTACATATTTTTGAGACACTCACCTGAATAAATTTTCTAAAAACAACTGTGCTACTCTCACATATGGATATTGACATATAAGAGCTATACTTTTGGCGACATATAACTTGTCTTTGGCAATATCATAATATGTCAGTGCGGCACCGCTATGAGGTGTGAGTTTAAATGATCTTGGAAGAGACCTGGAACTTTCTTTGCCTGAAGCTTTTCTATGGCCAGGAGGAGTCTGACCACTAGACAACTCTGTGATATACATTGCCTAAAAAAAATTAAAGTAATATAGACATTTTTTTTGTATTATTCTTAAATCCATAAATTATCATTATAATTTAATAGTTATTTACCTGTAATGTATGCATGGCACTGCAGATGTTTCTGTTCCTGACTTCTTCATAAAAAATAAGACTGAATCCATAGTATCGAGATGCATTCTCTCTTGTTACTACAAAGCTATGAAACTTGGGCTCTAAAGAATGTTTTTGTGTTCTAAATTGAAGGCCAGCTGGTAGACAAAGCTGTAAGTACACACATTCACCAGTTTTACTTCACTATTTTAATATATGTTTTTTGTAAGAACAAAAGTGCAATGGTACAAGAAAATATTTATTAAGTTTCTGTAATATGTCTCTTTAATTTAAAATGGCTTTCTAGAGAACAAAGACGTCACGAGCACTTAGTACTTATTTCAATTTATTAAGCACTTACCATACAAACTGCATGTTCATCAAATGGGTTACTTGTTATGTTTTCAGGATAGTGGGCCAAGATTTTGCCTTTATATGAACGATCCAAAGGAGATACATGTAAATTATCACCTAAAATTAAAGAATATTTTTATTGTCGTTTCTCTTAGTTCAAGAATAAAGCGAACGTTAAGTAGTTTTATTTTATACTCACCACAAAGTCTATCAGGCTCTAATCCAGAGTCAAAGTCGAGGCCGCATATCGCAAAATAATCGGCAAAACGACATCCAACAGATAAATCAGAGACAGACATATTTCTATCGACCCGTTATTTACTATTAGAGACACTTTCTCTTACAGACTGCGCGAAGGTTTTGTCTCAGCATGGTACACTAGCACTGGACTCTCATAAGCAATCGATTAGTATTGTTAGCTCACATGTTTTTATTTGGCATACAATTTTCAGTGATAATGAAACAAATACAATTTGTAAACGAAAAAAATATTCTATTCACGCCATCACATCACTCAACACATACATCAGACAGCTGCCAAATTGCGTAAACCCTCCCCCCAACTTCGGTCTTCATCCCAATTGTCACAGATATTACAATAAAATGTGCCGTTGTCATGAAGAGAGATTAAGAGAAGAAGAGATTGAAGAGAGTAGGAGAACAAATCGCCCGATGTGTAAAATTATTATTTTGAAATCTGCTGCAAATTCTTACTTTCATTGAGGCAATTCTTGGTATACAGATGGCTAAATATACTTGGTGCCAGGATTTCATCGAAATATAGGTCGATCGATGATTCAACGATTATCTGTCAGATATGAAATTGAATGAATGAAATTGTGTCTTTGTTTGTCAAAAGCGGTGGTGTGAGCGGGGCGTGTGTTTGTAGTGTTTAAAATAAAACGTTATTTATTGTGTAGTTTTTTTATAATATCAAAATATTTGTATGTAGTGTCTTCGTTTTCTTGGCCAGATTAATACAATTAAACAATTGTTTCTTTGGCGGCATTGGATTTTTTATAGTAATTCACACTATTCAAGGTAAGTTACAGTTTTTATATCTCCAGAATTATTTATTTTACAGAAATTATCGACATTAATTTAGTACAATAGGCTTCTTACAATACAACTATTTTTGCTGGGATGTGAAAAGTTATAATAACTATCGAAATAGGTATTCGTAGTTGCCCTAACCATGGCAGATATGATGTATTTTTTCCTTCTCTGGGTGTGTTTTATTTGCGAAAGTCTATGTTGTGAACCTGTTTCTACCGTTTAATAAGAAACTATAGTTAATTTTATTTTAGTAAATGTTTTTATTTGTCATAATGTTGTAATATTAACATATAAAAAAATTGCATTCATAATTCTTATTGATTTAGGTATTATACTTACATTTAATTTTGTCATCGAGAGAAATAAATTGATTTCAACATTAATGTATGTCTCATATCAACGAAACAATGTGTGCTAAGGACACATAAATGACCTCAATCCAATGTCAAATTATAGTAGCTTCTCTGTACCTTAAATGAAATCAAACAAGAAACATATAACATATTAAATAAATTTGTTTCAGAATGCTTAGAGGAAGAGTAAAACATTTACTACACTGCACATTTTTCCTATTATTTATATTCAATTTTCTTGTATTTGCTGGAGCTATACGTTTAGATGACAAAGAAAAGGAAAATTTTGATCCTCTTGAAAGATATGGAGTACATGGAGCAATAATTTTATACCTATTGAGGCTTTTTACCCTCTTAACAATACCTCAAGTCTTGTGCAATTTTGCCGGATTGACATTATTCAATGCCTTCCCTGGAAATGTGAAACTTAAAGGTTCTCCATTGCTTGCACCTTTCATTTGCATCAGGATTGTGACACGAGGAGACTTTCCAAAATTAGTAAGAGACAATGTAACTAGAAATATGAACACATGCATTGACGTGGGGATGGAAAATTTCATGATTGAAGTTGTGACTGATAAAGCAATTAATTTACCAAAGCACAGAAGAGTTAGAGAAGTGGTTGTGCCAGCTGAATATAAGACTAAATCAGGTGCTTTATTTAAATCAAGAGCATTGCAGTACTGTTTGGAAGATAATGTTAATATACTCGCTGAAAATGATTGGATTGTGCATTTAGATGAAGAAACACTGTTGACTGATAATTGTGTGAGGGGTATACTGAACTTTGTGCTGGATGGTCAGCATCAATTTGGACAAGGACTGATCACATATGCTAATGAGCACATTGTAAACTGGCTGACGACACTAGCTGATAGCTTCAGGGTTGCTGATGATATGGGAAAGCTACGGCTACAATTCTACTTATTCCATAAGCCTCTCTTCAGTTGGAAAGGTTCTTATGTTGTAACACAAGTAAGTAGTATGAAATTTTACTTTTAATAGGTAATGTGTAACATTTTTGTATAAAATATCCACTTAACTACCCAATGTTTTTGACAGTGGTGGGCAGCAAGGTCTGAGTTGATTTGATGTGTCTGTTCCACCTTATTTTTGAAACATTCTGTATAAATGTGTGTTTCTTATTTATTTACAGGTAAGTGCTGAAAAGAAGGTGTCATTTGACAATGGGCTTGATGGATCAGTGGCAGAAGACTGTTATTTTGCTATGAAAGCCTATAAAGAAGGCTATACTTTTAATTTTATTGAAGGAGAAATGTGGGAAAAGTCACCATTTTCACTGTGGGATTTCATGCAACAAAGAAAGAGGTGGATTCAAGGAATACTTTTAGTAGTACATTCTAAAGAAATTCCAGTGTTACATAAAATCTTTCTGGCAGTATCCTGTTACTCTTGGGTGACCTTACCACTATCAACAAGCAATGTTTTCTTAGCAGCAGTGTGTCCTATACCTTGTCCACAATCTTTGGACATAATATGTGGGTTTATAGGTGCTGTGAATATTTATATGTATATCTTTGGTGTGCTTAAATCATTCCCATTACATAGATTTGGGCCAGTAAGGTTCTTTTTGCTTATTGGTGGTGCTTTAGCTACCATCCCATTCAATATTATAATTGAAAATGTTGCTGTGATTTGGGGAATGTTAGGTAAAAAGCACAAATTTTATATAGTTAACAAGGAAATTAAGATACCAGTGACTGTATGATTTCTCTTGAATATATTTCATATCTTTTGAAGGGTTTACTGATTTTACAATAGTAAGTGCACAGTACACTGAAGGACTAACTTTGCACTTACTTTGAAGTATGAATCATTCAAACACACTGAATCATGTTATGATTGTTTTCACAAAGATAAGATAACATGGTATCTACCAATAAGTTAGTGTGTATGTTTGTTACCAAAGGATCAAAATTTTTTCTGTTTATATATTAAAACTTCACTAAATACTAAGCACAATCTTGGATATTTAAATGTAAAATAATAATAATAATAGCTTTGCTTTTATACCTTTCTACAAATAATTTATTTTTGGAGACCTTGTTGTTTCATAATAAACAGTTATATTTTTTTTTACTCAAATATTGTAAAGGTTTATGGTAAGCCACATGTTATTTAGTGTCATTTTAGTTAGTACTTTGAAAATAACAAAAGCAGAATTAGTTGTGTTGCTGTACTTACAAATCACTACTCAATTTTGTTGAAAAATATTGATTTGCAAAATTTGCAAATACTTTAATTTGATTAGTTTATGTAAATTGTGTGTCATAACACTGCTTCGGATTGTTGGCCACACTACTTGCTTATAGTTTTATAATTATATTCTCGATAGAGTTTTAAGACTCAGATAATAATTTATTGATTGTTTGTAGGTAATATTTTACTCATGCTGTTCTAGTTTTATCAACATTATCTATTATGTAATAGATGTACATATAAATTTGAGCTCAACAACTGTTATATGTGTGGGCATAAAGACACACATGTTTTAACATTATTTTGGCACCTGACTAGATGTATCATGCTGAAAAAAACATAATATTGTTGATGCTAGTTTTCTCAGTTGAAAAATTATTTGAGAAGTCATGATTAATGATAGAATGCAACAATTTCCACTAGGAGTACTTAACCAACATTGAAGTAGTTAAATAGATATAATTTATGTGTTAAAGCAACTTTTAATTGAAAACTGAAGTATCAAAAGCTTTTTAATTTTCTATAATATTGTTATTTTTTTATTATGTGATGTGTGTGATTTTGTGAGTTGCATGTTTTTGTTCCAAATTGTTAATAATTATATAATGATTGGATGTCTTGCATGGGAAGCACATAGGGTTCAAGTTCATTGAAAAAGTACAATGTTTTAAAGTAAAAAGATTTAGTAATATTTGGACTCAAATGTAGGTTATAAAATTTAATTGTTACAGTAGTAAAATTTTGTTAAGTGTTGATGAATGAGTTCCACTTTTTTACTTGAACTAAGATGCACACAGTATTCTGTCCAGTAAATTTTAAGTTCGTCAATAAATCAGATAACATGTTATTGCTTTAAAACACTGCATCTGACTAGTCATGTAAATATTTATGAATAAATAACTAGTTATAACGTGTAGTAGTTTAGACGAATAAGTAATTACCAGTGTTAATTGGGGTCTCTATCTACTTAGTTTTTATAGATAAAAGTCAGGGGTCAACTCTGTTCAACCCATTGTGATGGTCTTAGTATTCAATTACGCAATTACCTTCGTTAATTAACATATTAGTTCATGACAAAAGACATGTGCCCATTATTGTCGTGATAATGATTGAGTCTCTTTATTTTATTTGCTTATAAAACAGGGCAGTATTGCATCATTGCTGTATATTGCTGTGTTCGAAGATCCATCGACGTTGTAAATTAGTCACAAGTGAATACCATTGTAACTTTGATATTTTTGTATTTTGTTCTATTTGAATAATATTTTGATGTCATTGATTGACAAACTATGTACGTTTACGAACTTAAATTAAAATTTGATAATATAATGTACCTAAAATTCACTTTGTACATACAAAACACTTAGATACGTAAAATAAATTTGAGCATGCAAATACTTTGTGTAATTCATATCCTTTCATTACTTTTCAGTAGCCGATATCATCTAAAATATGTGACGGTATTCCTATCAGATGAATGGTAACAACTCAAGGCCATATATTAATTGTGTTGATGCTAAATGATGAACCTGTCGACTTGCTTGTAGTGGATGAATTTATTTCTGCTGACGTACCTATTTGAGACACGTATAACACTAAAGTAAAAACCCAAAAGTTAAACAATGATGGGATTTCCTTGATTTGTTTTGTCTTCACGAGTTATAAGTATCTGTATTCTAAATTAAGATAGAAGCCTGTTGTTACAGACCTTGGCCGGTACAAAAACCTTGCATGATTACGTCCTCATGTTTTTTGTGGCAGCCAGTTTCAATTGTAGCACTAAACTAACTCCTACAAACATTAAACAGGATAATCTATTTCTCTTATTGTTATAACGTTACGCTATATGAGTCGCGTCGTTGACACAGTAGTCTAGTCTAGCTTGTTTTTTATACATCAACGCTAACAAACGCATCCGCACTATCAATTTGCAAAATGGTCTAGAAATGTTGTGTAAGTAGGTACTTAAGTATAATTTTATGTTACAGGTTTTTTGCTGATAGGTGCTGTGATTTGATTGCACCTACTGATGATTACATAGGTACTTATGATTGGAGGCCGCCTTACTGTGCCTTCTACTTAGTACCTACATACTTAGTTATCGTAGAGTAGGTACTTACGTGGTGCAATATTGTTTTAAAGCAAAAGTACAAGCGTACTCTATATTCACACCATGTGTATAAGTAGGTACCTACTTTATGGCTTATAAGAGCGCTTATACTGCGCGGGAATCATGCAAAAAAGTAAAAAATCATTAAAACTACTGAACAGGTTTTAATGAGATTCTTTTTAGTTCTAGTTTACTTTACTATCTAAGTACATTAAAATTGAGTTCATTTTCGAGAAAATCTAGAGATCATAGTCTGAAGACTGCGGTATTTATTGTAAGTAAATATTGCCTTACTCATGTGAATCTACAGAGAAAAGTTCTAATAGTTACAAGTAGCAATGGCACTGTTATTCATGAGTACCAAGTTTAAAAAAAAAAAAATTTGAAAGTTTGAGGAAATCCGCGCCGCGTAGGTATACACTACGCTTTTAATATGGCTTTTTGTTTGGTTACACCTGAACTTAAAACACGAGGCGTCCTAAAAATGTCACGTGTACGCACCTAATAAGGACACTAAATGCGATATGATATCCGTCCACACGTTTATATTGCTCTATGTTGAAGGTATGTTATCGTAATTCCACAGATAGTTAACGCACAAGCGATCTTATCTAGCCGCCGAAGTTATGCTACAATTTTAAAATGTTGCATTCATATCTATAGGTATTTAAAAAATATTCAGTTATTCAGTTTTAACTGTGATAGCAATTCCTCATTGATACCTGATTGTTGGTGATTGGATAAAAAGACGACATTTTCATAAACAATGAAACTAACTCTCCTTGTTTGTAAACGAATATGAGGTGTCTAAAGATACACTTAGGTTACGCATTAAGTAGAAATATTTACCACTTTAAGGAGGAAATTTAGATTTCTGTTCTACTTACACCTCTCTGGCTAAAAAAAGCTTCATAGGTGAGGAATAATGAAGAAATAATTGTGTAATTTCAAACCTAAAATAAAATTACGCACTACCGAACGGAACCGCGACTCTGAAACCCCATAGGTACCTACAGCTCAGCAGTCACGCCTTTTACCACTAAACAAAGAAAGTCTTAAAGAATAACTCATTATGATGATTACGTTACCTATATAAAAATGGCTCGGTTCCGTAGTAAAATCAGGTTCGTTCTATGAATTTGTTGTTTTTTACATTAAGGCAACAGAAATACAACATCTGCCCAAATTTCAACTACTTATCTAGCTATCACGGTTCATGAGATAAAGTCTGTTGACAAACAGACGGACAGATGTACAGAGGAGTCTTAGTTAGAGTTCCCGTTATTGCGTTTGGGTACCGAACCCTAAAAATAATCATTATCAAGGCAGAAATATCAGTATCGAGTTCTCTTCCAAGCATGATGACGATAGGAAAAATACAATAGAGTTCCTACGTAGGTACATAGAATCTTATCGTTGGCTGAGTCAACTTCCGACACGTTGACAATCTGTTCAAGACAATTCCAACTTTAGTACGAGTACCTATATATTTATCATTTTGTTTTTCATTTGAATATTTTAACAGATTATCTGTCTGTTAAAATGAATCACACGTTGCAGGCGGATGAGTTACAGGATTTATATATGTTGCTATATTTGAATATGATTTTATAAATAAATAAATATATTTATCATTTCTGAAGAGTTGGTGATACATGTTGGTTATCTAATACTTAGGTCTACGACAATGAAGTCCGAAAAGTGATGACAATATTTTTGACGACGATTAGATACGAGATACCTACATGGGAACCCACGGATTTAGTACTTAGATATATCTATGCATCATTTTCAATGGGTTTTTTTACCAAGGTCTGTTTATGAATCAAAGGGCAAGGGATGTTGACTAAACTGAAATAAGACGAGGTATCTAGTGTCAGTAATAATCATCAGTAAGTGTCAGTACCTAATAATAAGTGTCAGTAATAATCATCAATAAGTGTCAGTACCTAATAATAAGTGTCAGTATAATAAGTGTCAGTAAACTAGTGTCAGTATTAATCTAATCATCTTGTTTGAGATCGAAATATTAAAGACGACGCTAGTCACTTTCTGAGAATTTACCTTCCATAAATGATTACGTACTTGCAGCATTTAGCGCAACATACCAAACTATAACAGCCTTTTCAGATCCCGAATTGCCTCGCCTTTTTAAACAATTGGAGAACGATGAGACTTAGGTTAGGGAGAGCCAAGCTTCGGCACGAATAGGTCGGCTTCGGACGTCCGAAGCGATACCACGGCCTCAAAGAAAACCAGCGTGTAGGTAACAACCATATGCTGCATACGCTGTGTTGCGCCGTGTGAATGTGGTTACCGGAGGCCCAATCCTTGCCCTCTCCCCAATTTCAAAATCTCTGAAACCCTAAATTTCAAAAGGCCGGCAACGCTATAACTCCTAATGGTGTTGCGAATGTCCATGGGCGGCGCGAAATGCTTTACTTCATGTAACCCCTTCTGCAGGTTTACCGATACCTTCATCATAAAAAAACGTTTATACAAAAAAATAGTTATACTTATTGACTCCAGGATTGAGCTAGCACTTATCAGTCGTAGCACATCCCTTATAACTGAAGGTTTTAATGTACCGGTACATGTGTCCTTATCTAAGAATCTAAAGTACGATAAAACACACAAGTTAGTACTAAGTAGTAGTTTGGTACCTAAGAACTGAATGATTAAACAATGAAATATGTAGGTAATTCTATCTACATTCATATCACTGTTCCATTCTTTAGTAAGTAGTTACCCACCTGTTTATCATCTACATAAGTAGGTACTTTAGAACTCACGTAGGTACCTATCTTTGTACTTTATAGACATGAAAAACATTTTGATAGCAGATTATGGAAAGATTTATATCGACAAAATGTTTAGATACTTTAGGTCCACGTGTTTCATTTTTAAGTGCAGTTTCAGATTCAACGATTTAAGGATTTATGAAGAACTTTATTGAAATAGTATTGGGCTGCCAAATTATGCGGTACCTACTCAATATTTTCAATATTTTAGTAAAAATTTTCTTTTTACAATGACTCATGTAGAACTATAACATGTTAGCTAATAGTAGTTAAGCGTTAGTTAACATTAAATTAATTGAGTTATATGGCTTACTCAACTACCCACACGTAATGTAGGTATCTATCTACGATTACTCGAATAGTTTCAAAACACACTAAGAAGGGCTCACAATCAGTTCGTTTCCAATTACCTAGGTACTTATGTCAAAAACTATACTTTTTTATTAATTTTGAATGAAATCGCAACATTTGTCGTCATAATGCTTTTACATCAAATAGAATAAAAATTATAATAGGGATGTCTCCTGGGTTAAAACAACAAAATTCTAATTAGCCCGTCAGTTAGATTATAGAAAAATACTCGATACGTATTTTTTTATTTGTCCATATGAATAATATTGACAAAGATACAGCACATTCAAATTCAGGAGTAGGGGCTCGTGACGTCACTCTTTCGTAAAATTTTTACGAAATAATGACTTAGCGCGAACTTTGGCCGCTCTGTAACTTTGTTATTTTAAGTTTTAGAAGGAAAAGAAAAAAATACGTATCTACTGTTTTCTGGCGTTCTAAAAGATGGACTAATTATTATTTTTTAGTCATCATCCCTATTTAAAAGAAACACACAATTATGTAGGTATCTACGTCCTACTCATAGAGTAAAGTAATAATATTATATCGTCAAACCAATGGATAAAAAAATGATTATACCTAATTGAATAATTTAATTGTGTTCATTCATTGAGCAGTCAACATTATTTTTTACTTAGGAAACTAACAATGAATAACAATAAGAATAAGCCGAGAAACTTTGTTGGAGCATTCCAATAGTATACTTAGATACCTATAGATAGTAAGTATTGTTCTGTCTAAAAACCTACATTGTTGTTAACAAGCGCTGGTTGAGGATCTAAGTTAGTTTACGAGCTGGGGAACAGATACTGGGTACTCGTACTAAGTACTGAATTATGTTTAATAAAACTGAAATTGTGTTCAATGTTTACAATCGCCTCGTTATCTATTACGTAGGAACAATAGTACTTACCTACCTATAATATTTATGAATCGTATCGTTCGGAGAAAAACAGGCGTCGCGTTATGGGTTACGTATGTTATTGGTATCTATCTTGGTACCTATCTAATCTTTACCTATGTGATTCTACGTATCGAAATAAGTATTTATTAAAGTTTGAAGATATTATTGATCTTGAAGTGTGGGAGAGCTATGCTTTTTCACGAATGGGTCGGCTCCACCGGAGTGATGCCACGGCCTCACAGAAACCGGCGTGAAACAACTACAGCGTTGCGTTTCGCCAAGTTGTTTTGCCGTGTGAGTAAGTTTACCGGAGACCCTTAATCCCTCCTCAATCCCAAATCTCGAAATTCCTAATCCCCAAAAGGTCGGCAATGCGCGGGAGTCCATGGCCGGCACTGATTGCTTTCCATCAGGTAAGCCTATATCTACATGAACTTGGTATCTATTATTTTACATTAACACTTCTAGATGTAGGTTCATACCTCATCATCATCATCATCATCATCATCATCATCATCAGCCGGTTGTCGTCTCGATGTTCAGCTCTTCTCATCCAACCACTGCCAGCCACCCTGCGGATGTCGTTCATACCTAGGCGGACTTAATTCCGGATCTTATAGGTACTCTACCGGTGAATCGAAAAGGTACTACTATTACTTTATAATGGTAAGTACATACCTACTGATCATAAAAATGAACTAAGTAATATGTTTAAATTTATATTATCCGTTTGTTACGTCGTTGTAGGTATGTAATTGGTAGACATTACAGCTAATTTAAAGAAGTAAATTGTGGGTTATTAAAAAAATCTAGTTGAGTATAGCAATGTTTGTTTTTGACCTACGAATTGAACTTGTAGTCTGTGGAATCAATCACATGAAATAATAACAAAATGCTAGACACTCAATCAAATTGAATAATAAAGAAGTAAAGCTCACAAAACACAAAATTGAGACAGCCATCTACATCGATGATCTGATAGAAATACGAGAAGCTTGGCTGCTTATTATTCTGCACAAGTTTGCCTGAATCAACTGGGACTACCAAGACAAATGAGTTGTTTTGGTGTTCGTCTGCCGTCGGCGAAGGATTAACAACCTATCACAACTTGTACAAACACGTACAGAGTACAGATATAACATTTGAACACTTGTGTTTAAGTACCTATCTTCTATTTATATAGATTATACTAAGCTACGAGGTGAAAGCCGAATAAGTAGAGCACATTATTCATCCCCTCTTGGACTACACTTATTGATTGAGATCAAACAGTAGCATGTAGATGACTCTAAAATTGTTAAATTGCGATTTCCAACCTGCTGAATTGTATGCCAAGCGTAAAATTATAGCATAGACACTTAAGTAAAGAAGGCCTATAGTTACATATAGCGTATAGCCATAGACTATTGTTCATCATCATCATCATCATCATCATCATCATCATCATCATCATAAGCCCTACTTTTAATAGAATAGCACCACCGAAGACGGACAAGATGGCGAACGATAGCTCACCAACCAGGACAAACAACGCAAGGATTAGAATTTTGTCGCTGGTCATAGTGTGGAAAAATAATTAAATAAAAAATTATATTATTAACGCTCTCTAGCTTTTTATTTCTAGGCTTATATTCTCCTTTTTTTCGTGAAACACATGGCACTTGACATGGTTTAAGGCCTAAGAGAACGCCTACCCCATATGCAACCTGAATAGGTTGCATATCGTGCTCCATCGTAGGTCGAGTCATCGCTTCCCATCAGGCATCATAGCGGCCAAATGCCTCATCATTAATAACTAAAAAAAAATATTTTTTAGTGTGATCCGATAACTTTTTCAATGAAAACTAAATACAACAAGATTTTTTTAATTAGTTACCTAATTATTTAGGCAGTTTATTTCTATGTATATTCAGCGGAAAACTGTCATCCATAATAATAATATGTACCTACTTGTACCTACATACATTAAACTTGATAGATTTACAAAACCATAAGCTTATTTAATTTTTCCCTTTCGCCTTACTTTAGCAAAGGGAAGGGGCCTTAACAAGGGGAAAAGTGAAAATATTTTCATAGTAGCTACGGGTTGAGAGGGACTTGTGGGAGAAAGCCATTGTAGAAAAGTTGAGTCCCGAAAATAATAATTCGACTACCTTTTCGACCTTTGGGGGTCGTAAATGTTGTAATACGTGCCTACCTAACTTAAGACAGTAAATATAAACTCGTGGCCTTTTCGTAATAATAATATGTACATCGACATCATCTATACCTATTTATTGTAAAAGAAGGTAACTCGAGCAATCCTTACAGGATTGATTTTCGTATTTTTATTATTAGTATTGTAATTGCAATGTAACCAAATATACCTAATAATGAGCTTGAAAAGGAAAAGCTAACCTGGGTAACCAAATTCCTTAATTGTAAATAAAGAAAACATTTTCAATACTAAGTATTAAAAGCATATTTGTATTAATAGCTATTTGGCGCGGCACAATACGCCAGACATCACGAGGAAGGCACCAGCCACCAGGCGCTTGAAGTTAGGTAATAAAGCGTCCCATCTAAGCGCACGTCCCATGAGAAATTAGAGGTAGTTTAGTATCAACGTGCACAATATTTCGCCATAGTAATTTTATGATAGAAGTTCCCGTGACTTACGCCAATAGATACCGTATGCGAGCAAACAATCACAAGGTTATTACGGTAAGTACTAGGACGATCGAAGGCAATCTATTAAAAGTTTATGGACAGTCGACCGTTCAGATTGATTGAACAGCTTATTTTATTTACTCTATGCGTCCGAAGTACTTCTCTGCAACTGCTGTGACTTTTATGCATTTCTTTATGTGTATTTTAGAGACTATGTCCTCATTCATAGCTACTTTTATTATTCAAGGAGTGAAGTTAGTTCTAAAAGTTTTGATAGAGGTCATTAAGGTGTCTTACATTTTTATGGCATTGAATATCTGGTCGCTACCACTGGTTGGTAGTAAAAGGAACCTTAAGTTGAATAAGTGTGTTTAACTGCTCTTCTGGTTGAGTCTGAATTAGACTACAGACGTACGTATTTTCCGTATAAATTTGTCTAACTATGTATCATGGAGACTTATAAAAACTCCCTCGGCAGTTCTCACAATTTTTTTGTGGCTGGAAGAGTTTGTAATTTAAACGACTTATTTAAATTATTTATTTTCTTGCCACATTTAATTTCAGGCTTAAAGTTCAAACGGTTCAAATTTTGTACTGAATAGGTACGTATCATTTTTCATCATGAAATCACAGGATACTTGTTGCAGCGCCTAGTTCGCATCAGCCGGGGTCGCATGTCAAGTGCAATGATGTACGCAGCCCCTGCCTGGAGCAGGAAAAGGAACGAGTTGTATAAGTGAAATTTGTTTTTGTATATTACTATAGCATAGTTTTCATACTAGTGACTTTCTGCAGATTTTTGGTATAAAAACTATCCTATGTCCTTTCTCGAGTTCCAAACTAGGTATATCTGTACCAAATTTTAGATAGTTATATATAGTTAGCTACGATATTATTAGATAGATAGTTAGCTACGATAGTTTAGGCGTTAAGAAAAGACAGACAGACAGACAGAGTTACTTTCGCATTTGTAATATTAGTATGGATATAACAATTACATATATAAGTTAGTTATCTATAAGTTTTTTAACCAAATAGAAAAATCCACTTAAATAAACAAAAAGAAAGTCAGTGCGTCCTACCTTCTCAGTTTTGTTACTACTCTGTTGATAACGTTCTCTCTCTTTTACTTCTCTGTTTGTTAAAACAGAGAGTTCAGCATTTAAAAAAATAAATCGTAACGTCATCTAAAGTTTGCGGGAACCCTTATCTGTAGAATATAACAGAAAGTACCAAAGTACTTAAACATTGGTTGATGGGATACTAAAACAAACTTGAGATATGAAAACAGACACAAGTTATTATTACGTTAATTATGTAGTTCTAACAACATACGTGATTATTTTATTCTGAATACGACAGGTAAACTACTCCTTAAAGGGATTACGTTAGCTGAAGCCCTAAGCGTGCGTTCGTGACCCGTTTGCCATCCACCGCGCATGCTTAGGTACATCGCTATACTAAACTTGGCTTGTGGCTTTACTCGCCTGATTTTGTAACATTTATTAAAAGTTTAAATAACTTTAAAAATAACTTTAATAACTTTTTTTTAAGTACTTAATCTGCCATAATTATCAAGATTTAACCGTCCTTTGTGATTTATTACTCAGGTTAATTTCCTTTGTAAAAATACTAATCTATATAACTTTTTCGTATCTTTTATCAGCAGCGTAGGAAATTGAAAATTTTAAATCAGGCAGTTGCTAAAAGTTGGACTAGATTAACATTTTCAGATTCTTTCAGTCTTCAATTCCGTAAAAAACATTATTTGTATGAAGTTTGAAGTCTGAACGATTTTGTTAAATGTAGTCTGTAGGTAAGTTACCTGCGCTTAATTTAATAATAGTACTTGTACTAATGGTAATCTTTTACCAAGGGCGACATGGTAGTCTGCGATATTGGTTCGTAGAGGCTCGGCCGGGTGACTTGCTGCCGGTTACAGTGTAGTGCACGTTGGACATGAGTGAGGTTCCCGAAGTGGTAGTGGAACATTGCAATGGTGTGGAGACTGAGGCCGAGGCCACGGACGAGGCGCACCAGAACGGAGATGACGGGTACGTAGCAAATCTGATTGCGGTAGATTGTTTAGAGCTCGGATACTTCTAAGTTATTCGACAAACTCCAGCTAAGTTGAAAAGCTAAATAGTTTGTCTACATAGTTTAGTTAATGCTAATTTCATTTGAAAGTGATCATCAAATGTTCATCTGAAGGAACGAAGGGTGTCAGAAAAATTAATTTAAAAAAACTTAACAAAAATGTAACTTACTTAAACAGCACTTGAAAAAGTGCGATAATGAATCGGATTTTTCTATTTTGTAGATTGGCCATTGATCCCAAACTGGGCTGCCGTGTTCATTTCCCGAGTGACGTCATAAGAGAAACGTGAGTTAACTTAGTGGCAGCAAGTCAGCCAGATTACCTGGCGGGGGCGCTGCCCGTGACGTCATGCCCTGTCCCTGTCCCCATCACGTTCTGACGTCTATCTGTACGCACTAGCCTCGCTTGCATCACTCATTCATAACTCTGATTATTCATGCACGGCCGAGCTTAATGCACGCACTCCGGAGCCACTTCACAATGTTTTGTGTTGCAACGCCATTCAATGTTTGTGAAAAGAGTGCAAAATGAAAATACGTAGTATAAGTGTTTACTGACTCTGTGAGTGCGAGGGTAAAGTTTCATTTGTGTTTGATAGTTTTTGTGAAAAAAGTGCCTATTTTTTCACTTTTTTCATTCTGTGTTTAATACGATGTCGTAGAAAGGGATTAGGATTAGAATTCAGTTTCTAGACCAGCATCGAAATTGAGTGTGTGATTTTTGCCATCAGAATTAATTGGAATAGTGATAGCAAAGTTCTGATTCCCGCAAGTAACAACACTACGATATACTAGTTTATATACGATATACTATACAGTTTGGATATAGGTACAGACTGGGTGGTTTGTACATATGTTTGTAAACGCAACCACGACAGAGGAGATAATCGCATTGTAGGGTAATGTTTGTATTAAAATAAAATAGGACGTAGGACCAGCAGTACTTAAAGATTTATTAATCCTATATATGTAAGTCAAATTATGCAAAGACTTTTAAGCATTAACCAGGACTACAACGTTGGAGTTGGTATATGAAAAGATCTAGCAAATTTTAACATATTATTTATATCCTATCCTGTAAGTGTGGGTGAGCCATGCTTCGGCACTAATAGGTCGGCTCGACCAGAGTAGGATACCACTTAGGTCTTTTGTTTATACATATTTTTTATGTGATAGGATGGCAAACGAGCAAACGGATTACCTGATGGTAAGCAATCAGCGTCGTCCCGAAATACCAAAGAAGTTACTACAAATGCGAACTGACCTTTTGGGGATTAGGGTTAGGGGATATAAATATTGTGGGGAGAGGAGAGGAGTAAGGTTACCGGGAGCCTAAACCCTACCTGATTAGGCCCCCGGTAACCACGCGGCGAAACGCAACTTCCTCGTCCCATCCTAATTCCTCAAATTTCTAATAACCCAAAAGAGGCAACGCACTTGTAATAACTCCTTTGGTATTGCGGTTGTCCATGGGCGGCGCTGATTGCTTACCATCAGGTAATCTGTATGCTCGTTTGTCGACCTATGCTAATTAAGTGAACTTTAGATATCGAACGAGAAATATTTCGATCTTTTCGATCTAGCAAATACAAAGGTACTTACAAAACATTTATTATCTTTCTTAAGTATCTGCTTAATCCGATAAATTCACTACAAGGTCTTCACATTGACATTAGGAAGCCCCGGCCACCGCGACCTCCTTCCACAATGTGAAGATAATTATTCTTTTACTTCGTTAAACGGCTTTTGAAGTCTTATTGAAGATTTTCCGTATTTTTTTTTTATTTCTGTCTTCAAAAACAATTAATTTAACTTTCCAATGTAATAGGAACGGCTTTGTGTCTCTCAGGAGTTACACATTGACACAGTCATAATATAACAGATGGATAGCTGTTTTTTATTTGATAGGTACACCGTTTAATGAGCTGACGTATTAACTGATGGTAAGCTATCGGCGCCGCCCATGGACATCCCCAAGTAGTATCAGAGTATTCGCAAGTCTGTTGTCGGCCTTTTGGAGATAAGGGGTTGACTGGGGAGAGAGAGGGAGAAATGGAATGTCTGGGCTTCCAGTAAGCGCACTCACAAGGCGAAACACAACATTGTAATATAAGAACTGAGTATAAGAAGTAATTATGTGTTACACAGCTTACCTCTTTGCACATAAAATGTGTGATTTTATGATACAATTACACATGTATAAAGCACATTTATTTGTATAGATGTCCGATTGTAGAGTAAGACAGAGATATATCGAACTCTGGGCTTTTTAACTCTGTCTACTCTTTGGAGAGATAAGTTTGAGTTTATGTCTATAAGCATGATTTATTGAAAATTACGACATTTACGACCAACTCTACTAGTTTCAAGTCACAACGGGACTCTTATTCATAAGCAGCGTACGTCGCCGCCTTTCAATAAATTCCTTATGTCTCACGATAGTTACTGTTCAAAAAACTATTTGTATGGTTATACCATTTTTATTCTTTTCCAAAAAACGTAGCCCAACGCTAGGATTTCCTCCTGTGTCATGGGTTCGTTTACAAACTCACAATTTCACATACACACCACACTCCGATGCGGAACAACAATAGTAGATCACACAGAGTTGTTCCTTGCGGAAATCGAACCTGCGACACGTTGCGCGGCAGTCATTGATGACACAATGAACTTTAAAATAACTCAGTAATTTTACAACAAAATACAATGAAGAAGTTTGGAATATCATAGAATCTTTTGAAAATTGAGGTGGAAGAAGTGTAAACACGTCATTGAACAGTTGTTCTTTTTAAATACTACTCCATTAAGAGTCTAAGGTGCTCGTGTTGCTGTCCCTTTACCGTTGTTTTAACAATCCTAACTGTACAAGAGGGTCTCTCGTTGTCGATTTTTGTTTGTTAAAACAATAAACTACAATTCGATTGCCTATAAAGCTTACTATATCATTCTCAACAGGTTTTAATTTCATGTTTATCGGTATTGACATAAAAAATAGTATGTTTGTTAAATCATAGTATTTTTGATAAACAGTATCCAACATTAGACACAATGCTGCAATGCTTGGTAAAATAACAACATAAATAATTTAAATAATGTAAAATGAATTTCCTTTCAGGTAAGTGCTTGCAAACTTCCTACGAGTTCAGAAACTCATATGTGAAATCGATGCGACGTCTTGGAAACGGTAAGTAAGCAATATATTCAGTAAAAATAACCATCATCCTCCAAGTTTGTTGAAGTTGTCTTTGTCTACTAAAACACAAATCTTTTACTTCAGGTATTTTTCACAGTTACTCGTAATATGTTAAAAGTTTTCAAAGTACTTAAAAGTGCTATTTATGTCAATGGAATATCAATGAAAGTATGTGACTGTTAGAATGTTCAAGAATTCGGATAATTTCTCAGCTACGCTGTCTACGATACAAGTATCGTAGTTCAAAGACTACGGGGCGGCGGTGTAGCCGTCGTAGCGCGTAGGCTGTAGCTTCGTAGCCAAGGCAAGCCTACGCGTCGTGTCGCTAGTACCAAATAATGCCTAATTGGTTTTGTTACGCGGCTGCCTCAACTACGATTTCAGTACATATTATTATTAATTAGTTGACTTAACTAAAGTGAAGTTGTAAATAGGGTATGTTGAATTAATTTACTTTGTAAGATAAATACAAAGTTGAAACTTTGTGTACAGAAAACCTTTTCGTTGTAAATGAGGTCAATAAAATGGAAGTTAGATAAATACGTATCTACATACTAGTTGGAACAGGTTTGCTTGTATTGCTTTATTTGTTATCAGGCGACTGGGGGACCTCGTTTTCTTAGTACAAACATTAGGCACGCGATATTTACTTCTTTATTTACTCAAGTATTTTAAAATGAAACTGGTGTTAGTACCTGTCCTATATTATACTTTGAGTTATAAAAACCTAAAAAGAATATATAGGCGTATGTCATTAATATATCCAAAGAAAATGGTTTCAGACAACTGTACATGTATATAACAAATTAACACGTGTAGTTACATAAAAGGTAAAATATATAAATTAATTAAAGTAACGGAATAAAAAATAATTCGCAATATAAGTAAAGTTTTACAAGAACACTAATAATAAGAGGCTGACGTCTTTTCTTGTTATTTTCTTAGCCTACAACAAGAAAAGTTTGTTGGATCGTATTTTTTCACCGGACATTCAGACGCAGGCTTTCATTGCATGTCGTTGACATTCCTCCAGCTCGCACGAAGTAATTTGCTTCCCCTTTTATTATGAGAAGCGTTCAGGAGTACGCGTGGGATATTCCGACCGTGCTTCTATCCCCAGACCGTTGCAATTTTGATTTCCTCCAATCATTTGTAAATAAACACGATGAATGTACTTCTTTTCTTCAGATAAAGTTCTAACTGCTCAATAAAGAAGAAAAATAAATAGAAAAAAGTTCAGTTCTTAAATATTAAAACCAGAATGCCCACTTCAGATGCTTACTTTATCTTATGAATAAATTCTTAACAATTCGTGTAAAATGAAATTGTGTATTTTTGAATATTTTAATTATGGTGTCGAGTTCTGTACGGGGCGATTATAATTGCAAATGAGTAACAAAATTATGCGTTAGAAATAAATTTTTAGGCGGTATGTTAACGGTTGAAGTTTTCCATTTGTTCGAGAATTCTTTTGTAATATTTCGGTATTATGTTTTAATTACTAAAGAACTTTTCGTTTAACAAAAATGAAACGATTTTAATAATTGTTTTATGTTTGAAATCTCGTAAAGAAGTGTAAGGTTGTTACAAAATTGTACACTTTGTTTGAATAGGTTACGTCAATTGAAACAACTCTTAGATGTAAATGTATGAGAAAGGTCAATGTATTTTTCTCATAAATTTTACAACAAAATGTGTTAATGTTACTTTGAAAATAGTATGCAATATATATATTTAACACAGAGATTCTGAATATATTGATAGCGGAGAGTGTTGAACGTGAAATACGTCGGCGTACGTGTCGAGAACGATTAGACATCTTTTAACGCGATCGCACGCGCTTCGATAAACACTTAGGTGCGCTTAAAAGTGTGGGACGGTATGCGAGGAATTTAAGGCATTGGGCGCGGAGCAAGAGCGGCGGGGGCGCGGCCGCCCGCCCTGGCGTGTACACGCGGCCCGCGGGCTCGTGCCTGCCATCCGACAGTCGGCTTCGCGGCCTCAGAGCGGCGGCGTGCGCTCTCCTTGTCGTTCCCGACACTTGTTCGCGCGATTCTTGTAAACACAGTTCGCGAACGCGTTGCTACTACCCTACGGTTCCCGCCAGCGGACAATTTGAAAATCTGATTTAGACTAACAATTTGAACAGTGAGTGTAAGGTGCACTTGGACCGACCTGGTGATGGTGCGGCGTCATGTGTGGTGATCACCATGCGGCCGCCGCTGCCGGCTAACAGCTCTCCTTGCACGCTACCCTCTCCACGTGTTTTGGTAAGTACACAACATACATTATGTTTGGTCAAATAAAGTTATTTAAACGCCCCTGTGATCAAACACGTGTAAACAAACTCCTTAAGTAAAAATTTCCTTAGTGCTTCGAAATAGAGTAAAAGGTAGGTAGATGAATAATTGATATATAGGAAAAAGATAACAATAAAATTGTATGACAACTTTAAGATAATATTTATAGCCTCATCATTATAAAAATATTATTTCAAAAATTAATTAGAGTTATATATATCCGTCATTAATTCGAAGTCTATATAGATTATCTAACAAATTAGGTTATGACCATATTAACCAATTGGTGTAATGATAATTTCACTATTAATTAAGTATTACTTCCTTAATAAGTACAGTAATAAAATATAAGAAAAAGGAAAGGTACTTGAGGCGACAAATTAGGGCCCTTCCTAGTTTCCTTTTATATAAACGCGGTTAAATATTCATTACCTGTACCGAGTATTTGAGAAGGGAGACCTCTTTCAATAACAGTTTCAAAAGTTGTAAAGTAATTAATTATTGTGTTTTATTCGCGACACCTACCGCGAGAAGCTGAATTTATCTTTATCCATTGTAACTAATCAAATTCGAAAAAATAACATATTTTACTACACTCACACTTGAGTAAATCAAACATTGACACACATTCTACAAATAGGTACTATTCGAGTGTGGTGGCACTAACCATCCAAATTGAAGCTCAGAAAGCTAGTCGATCGACCAGACTCAAACTCTATTTGATCTCAAACAGGTACTCATCCAACAATAGATTAAAACCCCATTGCTATTCTCGTTTCATATCGCAGATGTAGCTAGAGATACATTTTATAACTAAGCGACTATAAAACTGAATATAACTCAGTTATTCACCGGAAAGAATACGAACATCGTTTCAACTAAATATTTACCTACGCTAAACTAAAAATGCGTTGTTATTGCTCTAAACACGCTCGTATCCAACCTTTTTATATTTTACGTTATGAAATGATAGCACAATACGTCAGACGGCTAATGAGCCGCGACTTTACACCTACTACTCACTAAGAGGCTCGCTTATAAAAACATTCAATCAATGTTGGAATAAAGCCTTGTCACCTTCAATCTCCAGCATTTTCTGAAAAGCCAAAAGTACAGAAACGTTTTTGTAAGTTGCGTGGAGTTTGTATTTTATGAAAGTAAAAACATAAATCGTGTGTGTTGATGTATTGGTATATCTATGTTGGTTTGATATCGATTTGAAATTCAATACAGGGAGGTGTGTTTCTCTTGTATAAAATATAACAAAATGAGGTCCACGAGGACGCAGGTACGAGCTCGTTACAGTGCTGGCACAATTTTGTAATGAAGAGCTCCGAACAACAATACGGGCATCGTAAAAATAGAATACCATGTTATTAGCTCGTGTGGCATGTATCAAGGTCTGATTGGTGTATCCCCCTCGGCGCAGTTTGCTCGCCTTATGTCACGCACTAGCCTCCTCCAATTAGGTTTTTATACCGGGATAATCCCCGGATTTCGGAAATAATTTGTGGGGCGAAATAAATCCATGTTGCCATGGCAGGTAAATCGCCATATCTGTAATGAACTCTTGGAAATCAAAATGTTGATATTAATTTTTGCTTTTCTTATTTTTTTGTATGACGTGTGTTCCTTTTGAATAATTTAGGTCAATTGCATGCCCTTAGCTAACTCCGATGAAAGATACCAGTCATGTGTAAATATCGTAATTGGTAGATTAATTTCTTTCTGTAATTTTTTTCATATAGGTTGGAAATTCTTACTTTTAAGAATCCCCAATTTTATTTCTAGACTATTTTGTAGAGTTTAAAGTCAGTTGAATATAATATTCTTGCAAAAATAATAACTACATTTTATATTTTTTTATGGCAACAACAGAGCTGTCTCCGTTTTGAATAAAAACTGAAAGAGTAACAACGTTAATGGTGAAACTAGTTTTGCGCTCAACTGCTAACTAACAAACAATGGTGTCAGTTTTTCATAATTATGACTGTAGTTGGTTTTGTAGGCAAAAAGTTACCTAGAGATTTAATAAATTTTGTAACCCACCCTCCCTGATGTGATGAATGGATAATTTCCCCTCCTTCATTAGCAGTTCGCGGGTAGTTGCTAAATGATATCCGCTTGGGCCGGTTCGTTATCGCGTTAAAATTAAAAAAATGTTCCTTAAGCTGTAGCTTCTCTTTCAACAGTGTTTAATCTTAATGATTTACTCAAAGATCCTTGAGATTTATAATACCTATTTAAACAAGAAGATATAATAAAAATACGTAACTAAAAAGCAATCATTTTTCAATAAGCGTGTTTAAAAACGTCTAAAATAAATTTTCTTGTAAACTATACATGTCTAAATGTGAATGTGAAATGTTATCATCAATTTTCCAGAGCATCATTATATAATATCCCTGTATACAATAGCTTTCATAGATATCCATTAATATAGTTATCTCCATGACAACGCGGATAACTCATAGTTTCACGTTAATCGAATAATCTACTCGTAATATCACAAACAATCGTAACTGTCTCTTTTACGCATCAGAAATATTTCAAAGAGAATGTAAATATACAAGATCTGTTGGATGTTGCTTGTGAAGACTCACATCAAAATATCTAGCTGCGATGATGTTTCGAATAATGTTTGTTTACCATCAATCACTGGTGGTGTTCTGCGTAACGAGACGTGTGCGCACATTAAGAATTGGGTGTCGTTTCCGCGGCAGAGGCGCGGGCGCATCGTCGTGAGCCTTGACGCAATAAATATGTTGAAAACCAACTGTCTACAGCTGTTACATCTTCATTTTAGTTGCAACAAAGTTTATGATTATCTAAATTATCTGGTAATTATGAAATTTCTTATGATTTTATTAATTGTTTCTGTACATAAAAAATGCTTCTGACTTACCTTACACAATATCATAGTAACTTTATTTTCTATAGGCACCTATTAGTGTCATCAATTTTAAAATGTTATAAAAGGCTGTAATTATTATTCCTAGAACATTTTAGTGAGATTATCTCAGACGTCCGTTTAAAGACTTAAAAGCTTTACTGAGAATTTTAAATGAAAAATAGACAACATATTTTGTAAATTCTAGTCTAATAGTTATAATTATAGAGTTGTAGTAGAACTTAAAGTAAAACAAACTCTTTTTGTTTGTACAAATCCATTTATTTAAGCATTGCTTGAAGTTAGGTCTAGTTTAAAAGCTAAAACGTATTTCTTTTGGCTCTACAGCGGCCCTCTAAAGATGAAAGGATATATGAGTAATTGTTAGTCGCTTCAATAGTTTACACTATTAGGCACTCGAAGAAAAACACGAGAAAGCTCTCCCGTGTGTCACGTAGTGGAATGAAAAGTCACTTTGAATTGGAAATGGTCGTCCTCCAATAAGTTTTACTGGCATCAGACGTGGCAGCTACAAATCATTATGTTACACTAAGCGTGTCTACATAACGTTTAATACACGAACCTGTTAACGCGGCTACGAGAAATGGCGTCAGATTTATGCGAGGAATCCGTAATTATACCTGTAAGTATTTCGATGTAGGTCACTTAAGCCAACCACTTGTATAGAGAACACTTAGCTACAGATAGACAGATAAAAAGAAAGTACATGTTGGATCGTTTGTAATGATGAAGCTATTGTATGATAAGATAACGAGAATAAAGGTATTCGTTTCAAATTATGTAAAGAATATTCAAGTACCGAAGTGGCTTAAATAGTTTTAAATCTGTTGTACTTCTGGTACTACTGGGTTTCATTATGACTGTCCATGTTTTAGAGTATTGAGAGAATGCATTGATCAAAGAGACCGAACTGTAAGTGTAGTATGTATCTAGTGTATGCGCAGGTATTGTTTGTACAGTTCACGCATGTCATATCTGTCTAATGGGTGTGGAAAGTGGCCTACAAACAAAGTGACAATCGGATGGTAAACCATGGAGATTAGATTTCAAATGTCTTAAAACGACGGCCTTTCAGTCTATAGTGAAGTTTTTTTTTATGTGATAGATCGGCAAACGAGCAGACGGATTTCCTGATGGTAAGTAATCAATGCCCATGGACACCCGCAACCGAGGAGTTACGAGTGCGTTGCCGACCTTTTAGGGATTAGGGATTTGGAGATTTAGGGATATAGGAAGGATTGGGGGTGCGGAAGGATTGGGCCTCCGGTAACCTCATTCACACGTCGAAACACAACGCTGTGGTTGTTTCACGCCGGTTTTCTGTGAGGCCGTGGTATCACTCCGGTCGAGCCGACCCATTCGTGGCGAATGGCTCCCACATGTAAAAGTTGTAAAAAGAAACTATCTTTGATATTCTTTTAAAGCAGAGTTTAAATCATCCATGTTTATTGGACGACGGCACTTCTTAATCTCGTTTGTCGCTTTGGTCTCGAGACAAACATCGTGACGAGATACGTGACGAATGCGGTGACTTATCAATTTACGTACCTATATATCGGCTTTCGAATGCCACGTAGGCGTTGTCGTCTGCCAACTCTACGAGACCACACCTCCGTCAAATTGCGCAAAGCTCTGAGGAAGATAGTTTTTTCGTACAAATTACTTGTATCGGCTTTATATTGACATGTTCTAGTTAAATACTAAAAGTGAGTTCAGTGAAACAAAAATGCTTGAAAAGTTCAAGTTTGAAATAAGAAAAAAAATAAAATAACAATTAACATAAGTAAAACATGGATATAATATAGTTGTGTTGTATGTTGCCATAAGAATTATATTCTTAAAGATTGTCCATTCTGTGGTATTTCGTGGTGAATACTTTGTATATTCGTTTTCATTCTCGGAACCACAGGGTTCTGGATTAGTAGAATAGGACATCAGCCGGCAATTATCCCTGTATGCTCTATATATGCTATAAAGTGCACCTAAGGACATCCCTGGTTGATACAGGACTATTGTGCAATATGACAATATTATTAAATTTTCCAATTTTGTACATTCGTGTAATAATAATAGGTTAGAAATTGCCGTTCTGCAGTACTGGCCATTTCAAATCAAAATAGTTTTTGTTAGGCTAAGGCTAATTAATTTTGTTTTGAAAACATGGGATTCTTTTTCTAAAAGTAGTCATTTGTTTATTTATTAGTGTTACATTTTCATCGCATTTCAAATAAAAAAAATCGTTTAAATTTTTTCATGCAAAACGGCATTTTCATAGTTTCCTATTATATCAGACGATCTCGTGCCGCTTTGGTGCATCTGATTACTGCCAGTCTTTAACTTTACCAATATTTATTTTATGTCCCAAATTTAAATTGTAATCAGTGTATCAATTCGGAATAAAAAGTAGTAAAAATTATTCTTTCAGCCATCTGTACCTACATTTACATACTAATTTGATTCGTTAACGGGAGCGTAGGTACGAACGATTTGGGATTTCGTCGATTTAAACGGTTCTTGTATTTAATTTCTTTCCTCTTTCATGTTAAGCGTAGGTTTTACGGGTACGTTTTATTTCAATAATAGCTCAATCCCTTTACCGTTTGAACATAATACTGCTCTCAAGCAATACAAGAGCTCGCGCCGCATCTGATTACTATGAATGATAACTTTCAGTTATAAACACGAATACAAAGCAAGGCGATGGCCGATGGTTGCCGCTTTACGAGCTTGTTTGTTTGGCGAACTATTTTACCAAATTAACTTCATGTTTGAATGCTTTTGACAGACTCTAGTGTTTCGTGCTAAGTTTAATTAAATCATAAATTAGTCTACCAACACACTGCTTTAACGAAACAATATTTGTGTAGATATAAGTAACACGTTTATCAATATGTACAAGCTTACATTTTTATAGCCATTTAGATAATTTCATTAACTAGTCTCTATGTTTATATTCTAAGAATATGTGTGTTGTATGTTGTAGTAGTTTATTCCCTTCGCAACGCAAACACGTGGGTGTGCTTCGACTATAAATTAAATGTAATCCATTATTATAGTAGGTACTTATTTGTGTTCGATTCATAGTTGGCTAGCACGAATTATCTCGTGGGCACTTTCGCTAACGTTTTGCCTGAAAGTCGATACAGTGGAGCAAGCGATGACGTCAATGTTGCTTTATGATTCAATCTGCTGTTAACTGAGCTCTCGCCCAGCTGAGTGCAGCCCGCTCTAAATATATCTTAACAATTTTACTTATGTACGTTTCATGTCTGACGCCGAATTTCCCGATGGCGCCTGTTTTCCCGCTGTATACGTTTACACCAGTTTAAGTCCTTTGAAAGGATGCGATTCGTTATAGAAACATAAAATATACCGATAAAACTTCTTTAAAAGATTGAACGATAATCTTGAATTGAGTTCTAACAGTCCTCAGCATTTGGATAATTTTAAAAACGCAACCAACGTATCTATAGTGATAAATGTACGATCCCCAAATGAGCGATGATAATAATCAGAATCGCTAATTAACCATGAAATTGGTTTATCCAATAAGTAAAGCTCCCATGCGCTCATCGCTACAGCCAGCGAATATCTCATTATTTCCGTGGTCGCTCTAGAGAGGTGATTTAGAATTAATTATGATTACATTAAATTATCAGATTAAAGTAACCTTTATCTATCTTAGCAATCATGCATACAAAAGGAGGAAATAATACTGTACATAAATTACGCAAGTCATGTAACGTCAGAAATAAAATGTAGAAAAAGTTATTAATTTGGTATTTTCAGTTACATAGTGTATTTTAAAGAACTTTCCCAGCTAGCACTGAAGTAATTACAAACTGAAGTTTTTTGCAGGTCGCCAATGAACTGTAAAAAAGCCATTTCGTAATATCAAAAAGAAAACGAAACGTAGAAACGAGCGAGGTTTGCCGTTGTGCTACATCTAAGTGCGCAGCAAAACTACAAAGTTTTTGTGGTTTAGTTTGAAATAGGTACGTCTGTCGGTTTGTTTCCCGAACTGATCCTCCGTTGAGTAACGAGTGTACACACCTGTCGGACTGGCGACTGTGTGCGGCGACGACACATTATTACAAATGTGTGTTTCGATCGCCTTCTAAACTAACCTCTTGGCGTGCTCGCTAAATTATAAACGCTTGGTCAAGGGCTTATGGGAATGCAACCCGTTGAACGACACGTGTGTTTATCAACTGTCTGATTCGAAAATTTACTGTTCATCGTTTTGTAAGTAATTGTTCTCCTCTGTTTGTGGGTTACGATTAGGTAACTACTTCATTTATTAACGTCTGCATACTACTACACGAACTGATTGATATTTTGTTTCTGATACGTACACACGGCAATGAGCGGAAGTTCTTTGAGATATATCATCAATGTTAAATGCGAGAATCTTATCTCTCACCAAGAGCTCACTTCAGATAGTAAAAGTAGCTCTCGCTTCGGCTCTTCGCTTCGATAAGTAGGTAAATCCGTGCAGGTAGATTGCAAGAGGCGGTCGACGAAGCAACAACCCTTACTCTAATATATTTCGATGAAAACGATGCTTTTACCAAGAACACCCTTTCCTGTGTCTCTGTATTTTATCCGGACGATGTCAGCTTTGGGATTTTTATTTCATTGGTCGACTACACCCATTTGTTTTGTCAAAGGCTTTATCGATATAGCAAAAACAATTTGTGATTTACATTTGAAAGAAGTGGTCTCTTTTTGGTCTTTGTAATTGAATATTAAGGTTGAACGTGAATTTGACGTTTTGATTGGTATAAAAAGCTTTTTCAAGTTCCAACCTGCGTCAGGTGATTCATGATTTAGAATACGTAGGTCTCCGCCCTAATTCTATATTCGTCCTTGATCAATTATTTAGCCCCACTTCTGTCTGTAGCGTGAGTTAATTACATAAATAAATACCGTTCGTTGTTTCCTCGGGACGATAGAGTAATGTTATTCTTTTTTTTAATATTTAATTTCGTATGTTCGAATTTCTAATATAATTTACTTAATAATTTCAATACAATACTCGTAGTTTCGAAATTAATAAACTTACTAACTTAAATACATTTAGGTAACAAGATTTGCTATTGCTTATAACAATTATAATGAACACATGTACTTGTTATACATCAAAGTAATTAATAATAGTCGTTGTTAATGGATATAACTACATGTAGTTGACATTAATGTAAAATCAATCTAGACCACAAATCGAATTAATTTATTATCAACATAAAATAATCTGTTCTGTAGTGGTATGCCCAATCAAAAGCCGCAAACCATTATAATCACAATAATGTAATATTCAGGTGGGTGAAGTTGATCAATAGATAAAATAATTACTTAATTAATAAAGTTTATATTAACCCATTTCATGTAATGAACTTGATTTTCGAAATTTGCAGTTTACACTGTCTTTACCTTACGTACCTATCTTTTATTTCTATCGTTCTATGGTTTTGTTTTGAGTGGGTAAAATCATCGAATGTCTTCCTTCGCCTATGCTGAGGTGAGATTGAGGATCAGACTTTTACTGACCATAAAGTACCCCGTTCCTTCTCCTTATTTAGCTTGCTCCGCAACCCCGGCATGGTATTCATAATTACACCTGGCGAGTACTTGGTACCAAGTTTGTCGCTTCCACCATCTGATTTTAATATAGATATTGAATAGTGTTGTAGTGTTACCCATATATTTGTTTCACTAACCGTAGGATACCGAATTCTTGTAATATCTTTGTTGAGATTGTAGTCTAGTTTCTAGGAAATTCTATATAGTGCATAATATGTATGAGTATTATATAATATGTGAAGTATGTATAATACATTAGATATATGGTTTGTGACGTCATAGTTGCTATAGTTTGTTAATTAATTAAACTCATTATTAAATTTAGTTTAGGCGATGATTAGGTGTACAAACACACTGTGTTTCATTTTCATCATTCTATAATTTATTAGCTTACATAATAACATATAATATGTATGATCAATGTCGCCACCATTGTGCCATGAACAAAGGCCTTCGTCAATGTATAATGAAGTCTCTATAAATTTTTGGCATCGATCATGATTCTTGTAATCACAATTATCTCGTTTTTTTATGAGGGGAATATCATCAAAAATCTCTCAGGGTGGGGCGGGAGAGAGTATCAGATTCTTGCTGACTAAAACCCTCCCCGTTCCTTCTCTTGCTCTAGGCCAAAGCTGCGGTGTCTTATTGCGCTTGCCCAGCAACCCCGGCTGATAATTACGAGTATCATATTAAATATAAAATAAACATCGAAATGTGGAAGTTATGACTAATAACATTTATTATAGCGATAAATGCTCTAGTTTTTGCATGAAACAGTACACGTACAAATGTACGTTTTTTCCTAACAATCGATTGACACTTCTGGTTTCAATCTCTATTGTTTTTTTTGCGCGTAGTTTATTAGCAAGAGTGCGTAGGCTTTTGTAGCCGGCAAATTGCCCAGTTTCCAAACGAGTCAGAGACAGTTAAAAACAGTTTACAGAACGCAGCATTTGAATTCATTGTCTTATTTAGTTCGTTTAGGTTCATTCTTTAGTATACAATTCGGCTTTTGTTACAGACTTACAATCTATCGAAGAGATAAAGTTATCAATGTATATCACTCTTTTTTATTGAGGGAAAATCATCAAGTCCCTTGTCTCGCCTGGGGTAGGTAGGTAGGAGAGGGAGTGTTAGACTCTTACTGACTAAAAACCTCCCGTTCCTTATTCTCCTGCTCCAGGCCGAGGCCGCGGTACCTAATTGCGCTTGGCCTGTAACTCCAGCTAAACATCGGCCCTGCTGGGCCCCATCTGTGGTTACGGAACGCTACACGCCGTACGCTCGAGTCTGCTTCTGGTCGGGAGGCGAGCTACACTTACTCGCCGATTCGGGCTGTATACTAGTTAGGGCTGATAATTGACAAACCTATAGAGGTTTTTTCGGCGAACCTTATGCGGAAAATTTTATAAGTAAGTGACACATATTCATTCATAGAGATAATTCTTAAATTCAATGCAATGAAATTAATAAGAAACTTTGTACTTCTTTCAATTTTCATATCTAATAAATATTCGGTATTTATCTATTAATGTTAAGTGGTTTTTAGAGTTCTAATGCTAAATCTCGATAAAAGAAAATGTAAAAGAAATAAAAAAAAATGTTTAAAGCATAAACTCTTTTTTAGTTGTAAAGTTTATAAAGTGATTACAATTAAACAATTGATATTATGCCTCTTTTCATACAAAAAGGTTAATAGAAGTGTTTTAAAAGAAAATATATTTTTCAAAAAAAGTTTTTATTGTACAATTGGTGAGATGAATTAATAAACATTATGCTCGAGAGAGATCAAACTTAAAAGCAGACTTACGAACAAACTTAGGAACATTTCAATTTGCCTAAATATTTATAATACATACTTTGAAATCTTAAAAAAGTATTGTGAACAAAACTTAGTATATACGATATAATTATATAAACAAGTTACGTAGTATTATGCAAACTTGACGTCATTTCCGATAATATTTAAACCAAGTTGCAAGATTCGTTTCCGTATGAATCACTCATGATTACGAGACAGCAGCATCCTTTAATGATAACAAAACAATACTATCTTTTAACTGAAAACATACATGACATACAAACATACAATTTATTTACTGATGTCTCATTAACTCTTAACGTTATGTATATTATGATACTAGCTTTTGTCCGCGAATTTGTCCGCGTGGAATAGTGACTTCCTGATTTTTAGTTTGAAAACCATTCTATATTCTTTATCGAGTTCCAAACTATGTCTGTCCCAAATTTCACACAAATAGGTTCAGTAGTTTAGGCGTGAAGAAAAGACAGACAGACAGACGGACAGACAAAACAGGACAAAGTAACCCTTACTTTCGCATTTATAATATTAGTTTGGATTGCTACACATAGTATGTAAATACCTGTCAACGTAGGTAGGAAGGTAGTGCAAATGTGTATTTTTATTTGGTATAATTTACCTGTAAACCTTCTGTCGTTATAGGCTACTATTTTGTTGAAAACCTATATTTTATTATTGTTTTTGTTTTTCAGTGAAAAATCGACCTTATCACAGTTCTATTCAAGTCCTAATTAAGTATTCTTTAATAATTATGATTAAAGCTGTTAAGAAGGTATGAATAAGAAGTTTCAAAGTTCATAGAATGTTTTATTTAATCTGAGATTAAGCTGATTATTGTGGACGTGGCGTCCTTGATAATGAGTGTTTACTTATAACAATAAGATTTACCTTCGATTTCTTGTTACAGTTATTTTATTGACGCTCTTGTCTTATCTTGATTGGGTAAACCATTATGTTATCAGTTGTTTATCTATACTGTAAAATGGTTTGTTGTGAATCCAAGTTATCTCGATAGAAATCATTCATTTTTAGAGTCTACTACGAATTATAACGCAATGTTGTCTGAGCTGTGCAATGAGATCAAGCGTTGAACCTAAATACCTACTTTGAATCTGACTAACCGCAAGAAAACATTTGCGAAACATTTTATTGTGTAATTTAAATTGTAAAATGTTAAAATTCATCGAACCTAACACTTTGTAAGATCAGCACCTCGCTAAAACGCTTTAGTTACCCAGACGTAAACGTTTGCCAACATGCTTGAATGGCTACATCCACGTAGATTAAGATGTTGACTTGAGTCTGTTTGAGTATTGATTCATTCACGTTAAAGTGCCCCGGCAATGGCAAAAATAGAACCTGAGTTTTCCGCTTAGAAGGCTTGGAAACGTCTCGCCACGGATTGAGACAGGACAGCACATAACGAGCCTGCAAACAGCCGACATAAACGAGTCAAACGACTTGTTTGCTCTCGACACATCGCTACGGCTGTTTAGCACCATACCCTTACGCTTCTCAAGCTCTAATGAGGTAACTTGGACACCAACTGAATTTACAATACGTCACCCTCCGTTGCCACCTGGAAACGAAATTGTTCGAAATAAAAGGTATTGAGAGCATGCACGTAGTCAATTCAATAAGCCATTTCACATATGGAGGTAAATTCGTCACATCCAATATTGATGTTAAACGAATTATTTATACAATGTTAAATCCAAATTCCGTATGAAATCAATTAGTTACCTGAATGATTGAGTAGGTGCGGTACATTTTTGATGTCTTTGTTAGCCTTTCATGTTCGAGAGTATTAGTTTAGTTATTATGTGTAATTTATATGTAGTTATCTTGTTAGCCCACGGTGATTTGTATAACTATTAGATTCCATGTCGCTTGTACATATACGGTAATGAGTGTTTGTGCGTAAAGCCATTATTTACTGAATAATCATATAATGTTTATGCAGATATGTGTATTTCCTCGAATAGGTATCGATAAGTCGGCTATCGTATGCTGCTTAATTATATCGGGGATAATGTTATTGTCATGCGGAAAACTTGCAGAGTACATAATTATTATATTGTCATATCCACTTAGCTAATGATCTCTAGCGGTTACGATTTAATTAAATGACAGCTTTTATTGATGTGTTCTAGGGCCTAAATACACGTGTTCATGTCAGTCTTCAAGATTACGCTTATAAATATAAAGTGGTGTATTCACGGCCCAGTTCTGAGAGAGGCGGGGCGGGACGACAGTATGTGCACTAATCCCACCTCAATTGTGGAACGAGTTAACAATTTCATTCAACTCCAGACTATGAATACCATATCAAAAGCGCTCGTTAGATTCAAATTATACCAACTCCCTTTGCTTTGTTCGGTAACAAATTGATGCCCTTATCATAACAGGGTGGAGTAAAACTCTAATTATAGAGGTACATTTTCAACAAAGTACCTACAGATAATTCAGTAACCGTTTACAAAACGAAACCCGAAAAATGGATGACGCTACGAAAATTCGCATTTAAACTTCACCGAGTCATACATCTTTTCTTTGTCTGCGTCAGTTAAGAGAGAAGATAGATTGGCGTCTTATATCCCTCGTCTCAAGTTTTTGTTGTTAAATTAAAGCCGCAGCGGTATACAGATTGCACCGTTCTTGTTTCAACAAGTTTACCAAGACCGGGACACTTATTTATGAATAAAACAAAAACATTGTTGATTTGCGCAACGACCAACGTTGATTATGGCTGAATGAATCCATTGACGTACCCATTACCATCACTGAGTGAACATCTCTTTTTTGTTCTGACGCTGGCCTGGCCTACAATAACACCTATTAAATATGAATTCAAATTGCTATTGATACAAAACCCCTTTTCGGATTAAGTTACAGCGTGTTTCTGTTTACAGTCAAGTAGATTCTAACAACGTTTGATCCAAAATAAATATTGAGTTTCAGGGGCCCGTCGACGCGGCTCATATTTAAAATTAAGTACTGTATCATTAAATATTCGTGGTTCGTTACCATTTACCATTTTGTAAAATATTCTAAAATTAATTCCTCTTTTGTTTATTCACATTTTTTATGTAATAGAGCTAATGAGCTACTTGTTTACCTTAGGTTAAGAAATCCGCACAGTTTAGGGGTACCCACAACACTACAGGGGTTAAGTGTGGTGATAGGGGTTTCGGAGATTTAGGGATTGGGGAGAGATGAGGAGACAAGAAGGATTGGTCCTCCGGTAAACTCACTCACACGGCGAAATATAAAGCTGTGGTTGTTTCACGCCGGTTTTCTGTGAGGCCATGGTATCACTCCGTTGGAGCCAAGCCATTTTTGTCAAAACTTCGCTCTTTCACACTTTTATCATTCTAGCTCACATGTAAATAAAACATACCTACAATTAGATATGATCACTACAAGTATGTCTTCTATAGTTCACTTCTTAGTCAATGTTATTATATTACAATCATCCTACATCAATCAAAGTTCTTAAATACACATTACTTTTCCATGTGTATTAAATCATTGCAATGTTGCTTCTCACAAGTTAATTTAACTCGAATTTAAATGTTATCGCAATAAATTATTTCTTTTGAGATCAACGATATTTAATTGTGAATAATAAGTTTTCCGGTACCTGCAACAAATAAATAAAGAGTAATGATAGCGAAATAATACGAAAGAGTCTTATTAATAGAATACTTGATAACTTATTAAGGGATGTCCAACAAGCCTAAGTCTTAGCTTTATGTACATAAGTAATCGTAGTAAATATCAATTCAAATAAGGATTTTAAAACGTAATTTCAATAAATTTTACTAATGAAAAGTTTTGAAGTACTTTTTGCTCCGAAACTTGTAGGTGTATACCCATTGTTATAATTAAATATGATGACAGGTGTGGAAAAGTTTGAATTTTTGATGTAATCTAAAAATCTAGTGGCATTATTGATATCTTTCGATAATTGTTATCATTGATAAATTCACGTTCATATTGGATATGGCGAAGGTAGGTAAATAATAAATATGACTATCACGTTTTCGACATTTCTGTAATGAGATAGGTGTAGATGACGTCCGTGGTACATTATTTTCCTGTTATAATTAAAGGTTGTATGTATGAATATTGCTTTGCCAAGGATTTTAATTTTATTGAAGAGCCCTACTTCCATTGAGTTATTGCGCGCGCTAATTAAAATAGTATTGCATATTAATAATTTTCAATTTATATCGAGAATGGAAATCGCGGTGCAATGTTTTTCGTCCCATTTTTTCAAAGAAAAATAAAGTAAATGTTAACGTATGTATTGTAATGAATTGGAAACTGATATTTAAGACAAACGATTTTTTAATTGAATTGATTGAAGTGGCCATTACTGAACGGAGTTCATTCTTGGGCACGAAATTAAACAGATGATGAATAAGTAACCTATCCGTAAACTCTGCTGATAAATTTGGTCAACGTATAGTGAAACCTATATTATGATAATCCATTAAAAGAGGAAGCCGGGTAAGCTTTTAAACATATTAAAAGGA